CCGTTGGGAAATATGAGATGGTCAGTGGAGTATGGTTGAACCAGAGGACCGTTTTTTTGGGGCGCGGCCCCTCTGGTAATGGAGATTTTGCTGGTAAAATCATCGAACTAAAATGGTGGAATGGGTGATGACCGGAGGGTAAAAAAGCCCCCCCAATTTTTGACTTGACTGATCTGTTGTGTTGGTTGATGGTAATACCCTCTGGTAACCGTTTTCTGGCATTGGAAAACACGTGGGAATCAGTTTGTTGTGATTGAAGAAATAACCTGGAGTGGAATTTTAATGAGAGATCTACCAGTGCCAAAGTATGTAGATTACCAAAGGGATTCAAAGGGTATATCATACTTCCCGGCTTGATTTCAATACTTTGAAAAGGCATGATCGGAATGCCTATGATCCAAGCAATAGACCTGTCTGTAAGAGGCTTTGGAAGCTGCTCCCATGTGGATGTGCTGATCGGAAAGATTCAATGCTTTCAACATTCTTTCAACTTAATGTTTGTTCTTCAAGATACATCAACCACTCGTCATTGTGACGATTGGTCCACAGTGAGCTGTTTATTCCATGAATCAGATAGTCCTACACCAAGAATGACCACGGGATCAGCTTCTCTCAAAATCCATTTGGACTGCCCTGAGGATGGTGAAATCAGAATTCTGCTTGGTAAAAGATCCCAATAAATTTCCTTGGTTACTTCCCTTAAATCACCATTGTTCCATGGTGAAATTCCTCAAACGTAATGTTGGCTGCCTAATAGTAATTACCCCCCCTATTTTTTTTTTTAAAGGGGGGGGTCAACCTTCCTATAATAATTTTTGGGAATCTATAGCTGGGATCATGATATGTATCTGATAGATTCTCCATGGTTTTGTTGGATTTCTGTTAGATTCTGCATAGGGTTTGGTTGGATTTCTGAGATGTTCTGCATAGGTTCTGCATGGATTAGGGTTGGTTTCTGTTAGATTCTGTATGGATTTGGTTTGGAGGCGAAGGAGGAGGACGAGGACGAGGAGGAGAAGAAGGAGAAGAAGGAGAAGGAGAAGGAGAAGGAGAAGGAGGACAACAAAATTGGAGTTGCGGAAAAAAGTTTCCACTATTGCCATGCCTGGTGCAGGTTTGTTATTGCTATTCTGGGGCTTGCAAAGGGGGTACCCTTTGTGGACCTGTCTTCGTGCTTTTTTTAATAAGGGTTTTATAAGGAAATCAGCTGTTTGGTAATTGGACCAGATTTCTGGATTCTAAGCTTTTGCTAATCAAAAGTGAAGGCTGCTTTGAAAAGGATTTGCTTTACTTGACTCTTTTGGCAATACTAAGAGTAAATGGAGCTAATTGACTTTTAGTATTGGAGAAAAAATTGGAGTTGGGAAAAAAATTCCACTATTGCCATGTGGGTCCACTATTGGCCATGCCCTCTGGACAAGGTCTGAACATGACTCTTTTGGCAATACTAAAAGTAAATGGAGCTAATTGACTTTTAGTATTGGAGAAAAATTGGAGTTGCGGAAAAATGTTTCTACTATTGACCAGATATCACTATTGGCTAGACAACATTACAATCTGGTTATGACTAACATAGCCATGGAAAATCCCTCATACATGGAGGTTTTCATGGGAACATCATCTATCAATGGGCCATTTTCCATGGCTATGTTAAATAACCAGAGGGTATCTGTTCTATATTAGAATTTCAGTGTTCAAGACCTTTCGGCTACACTTGCCTCGTCGCGGTGAGTGCATGATTTTTGGCCAATGTCCAGTGCACAATATGGCTACGTGGATCCATCATCTGCTGACAAAGCTGCAGCAGATGAAACTGATAAGGTCGAGCTTCAGGTGCGGTGCTTGACTGGAGAAGGAGTGACACTGAGCGTCAGTCGTGCCATGCTTGGGTCTGACCTGCGCAGGTTGGTGTCAGAGAAGCTTTCATGCAAGCCAGGCGCAAAGCTCGTCATGCATCATGTGAATGGAAAGCTGACGCTGAATGAAAACTTGAGAGACCAAGGGATTGCTGGAAAAACCGCAGTGCTGTCCTGCACTTACATACCAACTGATGTGTATGCAGCATGGCGTTTTTCCTGTGAACTCCCAAATAGTGAGAGAGAGCTCGCGCTAGAAGGTGTTACACATCTTGAAGGAGCAACGCACGGAGAGTATTTACACCATCTCCCCTGCAGCCTTGCAAGGCTGACTTTTGGCCACAAATTCAACCGAAGCCTGGAGCATGTGACCTTGCCATCAACCCTTCAAAACTTGAGTTTTGGCGAGCAGTTCGACACAAGCCTGGAGCGGGTGACCTTGCCATCGAGTCTTCAAAGCTTGAGTTTTGGCTCGAATTTCAACCAAAGCCTGGAGCGGGTGACCTTGCCATCGGGTCTTCGAAACTTGAGTTTTGGCGATGATTTCAACACAAGCCTGGAGCGGGTGACCTTGCCATCGGGTCTTCAAAGCTTGCGTTTTGGCCATTGTTTCAACCAAAGCCTGGAGCGGGTGACCTTGCCATCGAGTCTTCAAAGCTTGAGTTTTGGTCATTGTTTCAACAGAAGCCTGGAGCGGGTGACCTTGCCATCGCATCTTCACAGCTTGAACTTTGGTGCTAGGTTCAACCAAAGCCTGGAGTGGATGACCTTGCCATTGGGTCTTCAAAGCTTGAGTTTTGGCGTTTATTTCAGTCAAAGCCTGGAGCGGGTGACCTTGCCATCGAGTCTTCAAAGCTTGAGTTTTGGCTACAATTTTAACCAAAAACTGGAGCGGATGACCTTGCCACCGAGTCTTCAAAGCTTGAGTTTTGGCTGTGAGTTTACCCCAATTGAGCGGGTGACATTGCCATCGAGTCTTCAAAACTTGAGTTTTGGGGATAGCTTCAACCAAAGCCTGGAGCGGGTGACCTTGCCATCGAGTCTTCAAAACGTGATTTTTGGCAGGAATTTCGACCAAAGCCTGGAGCGGGTGACCTTGCCATCGGGTCTTCAAAGCTTGAGTTTTGGCTTTTATTTCAACCAAAGCCTGGAGCAGGTGACCTTGCCATCGAGTCTTCAAAGCTTGAGTTTTGGTCATTGTTTCAACCAAAGCCTGGAGCGGGTGACCTTGCCATCGAGTCTTCAAAGCTTGAGTTTTGGCAATTTTGACCAAAGCCTGGAGCGGGTGACCTTGCCATCGGGTCTTCAAAGCTTGAGTTTTGGCTTGGATTTCAACCAAAGCCTGGAGCGGGTGACCTTGCCATCGGGTCTTCAAAGCTTGAGTTTTGGCCACAATTTTAACCAAAGCCTGGAGCGGGTGACCTTGCCATCGAGCCTTCAAAGCTTGAGTTTTGGCTTGGATTTCAACCAAAGCCTGGAGCGGGTGACCTTGCCATCGAGTCTTCAAAGCTTGAGTTTCGGCTGGGCTTTTAACCAAAGCCTGGAGCGGGTGACCTTGCCATCGGGTCTTCGAAACTTGAGTTTTGGCAATGATTTCAACACAAGCCTGGAGCGGGTGACCTTGCCATCGGGTCTTCAAAGCTTGCGTTTTGGCTATTGTTTCAACCAAAGCCTGGAGCGGGTGATCTTGTCATCGCGTCTTCAAAGCTTGAACTTTGGCGCTAGGTTCAACCAAAGCCTGGAGCGGGTGACCTTGCCATCGGGTCTTCAAAGCTTGAGTTTCGGCGATTGGTTCAACCAAAGCCTGGAGCGGGTGACCTTGCCATCGAGTCTTCAAAGCTTGAGTTTTGTCACGAGTTTCGAGCGAAGCCTGGAGCGGGTGACCTTGCCATCGGGTCTTCAAAGATTTGGTGCTGTTTGCGGTGGCGATTCATCATGCAATGTTTTTGTCAGTTGTGCAGGCTGTGCTTAGCCTGTTTGACACGTCCCTCAACAGATATCCGAAGCAAAAGAGGCTTGCATTTCCCAATTGAGGCTGACAGTCCCTGGGTGCTGGAGGGGACACGAACCGTCGTTTTTTTCGCATTCAGTCAGTGAATGTGGGATACTAATTATTGGAAATTACTATTGGAAGTCATGGGGATAATATGGAATTTTGCCGGATAAGAAAAAATGAAGAATTCTGGGATAATACGAGAATTGATGGGATACGATCGGAAAATATAAGAGACCAACGGAAAATTATGGGGATACCGTTGGGAAATATGAGATGGTCAGTGGAGTATGGGTGAACCAGAGGACCGTTTTTTTGGGGCGCGGCCCCTCTGCTAATGGAGATTTTGCTGGTAAAATCATCGAAGTAAAATGGTGGAATGGGTGATGACCGGAGGGTAAAGAAGATGCAGCCCCCAATTTTTGACTTGACTGATCTGTTGTGTTGATGGTGATACCCTCTGGTAACCGTTTTCTGGCATTGGAAAACACGTGGGAATCAGTTTGTTGTGATTGAAGAAATAACCTTGAGGGATCTACCAGTGCCAAAGTATATAGATTACCAAAGGGATTCAAAGGGTATATCATACTTCCCGGCTTGATTTCAATACTTTGATAAGGCATGATTGGAATGCCTATGATCCAAGCAATAGACCTGTCTGTAAGAGGCTTTGGAAGCTGCTCCCATGTGGATGTGCCGATCGGATAGATTCAATGCTTTCAACATTCTTTCAACTTTCTATGTTTTTTCTTCAAGATACATCAACCACTCGTCATTGTGACGATTGGTCCACAGTGAGCTGTTTCTTCCATTAGTCCTACACAAAGAATGACCACGGGATCAGAACTTCTCTCAAAATCCGTACCTGGACTGCCCTGAGGATGGTGAAATCAGAATTCTGCTTGGTAAAAGATCCCAATAAATTTCCTTGGTTACTTCCCTTAAATCACCATTGTTCCATGGTGATTCCTATTTTCCCCTGATGAAATCATCATTTTTTGCTGAAGTTTCTGGATTTTCCTTGGGATTTTCCCATGGAATTTTCCATGGATTTTCCGATGTCCTTTTTGGGCCTGGCCTTCGGGTCCTAGGTGCGGAAGAAGTTCCGGGGCTACTTCCGTGGCACCTGCTCTGATCTGAGCAACTCCTCGATGGAGGCCACTAAACTTGTCGCATGGTGCTATGGGTTGTCTGGGGGTACCCCAAGCATCCAAGGTATCCAAGTCAGAGCATGTTTGATGGTATACTTGGAGGTTTTCCATAACTGGAGATACCCCAAAATGGATTGTTTATAATGGAAAACCCTATTAAAATGGATGATTTGGGGGTACCCCTATTTGAGGAAACCCCCATTTGATGGTATATTTAATGGGGTTTACCCTCAAACAATGGGATAATCATGGGATTATATATCCAGGAGTGATATATTCAGGTTAGTGACATATTATAACTGGTTGGTGGTTTGGAACCATGGAATTTATGACTTTCCACTCAGTTGGGAATGTCACCATCCCAACTGACGAACTCCATAATTTTTCAGAGGGGTTGAAACCACCAACCAAATGGGATTTACCCTCCGGTAAACAATGGGATAATCATGGGATTATATTTTGGGATATGATGGCAAATGACAATTGATTATATAAATCAGCAGTATATAGCCATAGTATATATCATAGATCTCATAGACATCATAGATATCATTATTATATAGCCACAGTATATGATGACTATACTCATAAAATATCTATTACCCTCTGGTAAACATACAAAAAACGATAGAACATCACCATTTTTTGATAGGTATATCAACGAACGAAATGGTAATTTTCAATCGCTATGTTAGTTTACCAGAGGGTATATAATTTTACTATTTGAAACCCAAGGCCCAAGGTTTTGGGCACCCCCCATGACTCAAAAAAAGCCCCCCAAAAAAGGTCAACAGTGATTCTTGTCATTGGTAAATTGCCCGGCAACGTGAATGAATAGTAAATGATTGATGATAATGGATAATTGTTTTTATATGTTTTGATATCAATGAGTAATGACAAGGAATAATTGTGTGTAGGTATCTAGTTCCATACCTCATTCATATTAAACACCCCCAGCACCATGGTTTAGTAGCTGTTTTAATCCCATGGGCAAGAATAGTTCAGAATAGTGGCTAATGTTGATTTAGTGGCTATCAATGGTTAATGATGGTTAACAGTACTCAATGATGAAAAATCGATCATAATGGATGGGTCATGATTTTGGGTATTCGTGATGGTGAATGATGGCTCGTCTCATTCCCAGCCAAAATGAGGATAGGCAAACAACAATTAATTGAAGATAAACCATGAACAATTAAATCCATGATATTGAACACATTTTCTTGTTACCATACATTTTTTCGAGGTAGTATGACTTTAACAACCATTTTTTTGAGGATTCCCGGCACCGGTGGATCATCCCAGTGATGTCGGGCCGGTGAACCGCTATAGGGTGATCTCCAAGACGTGTTTGTTGCTTGGTATCCGATGTGCGTAGCAAAAAAAACCATTCAGTGTGCTCCCCAAATTCTGCTTTCGCAGTTATCATTTCCAAGTGCGATTGCGCCCTCAGTGATGGATTTCTCGGTGATGACAAGATGGATTTCTCGCTGCCCTTGTGCTCAGCGAAACGTTAAAAACGACCGGTGCAATTGGGGTGATTTTTTGCGACCCCCCATCAGTTGGGAGATTTTGCCGGCAGCTTTTGGGTGGTTAAAAAACTTGGAACATGTCACCGAGTGACTGGTTTACGCCTGGTTAAAAAAAAGGTCCCTAATTTTTCATAGATTATCCCATGCATTTCTGGGCCCCACAAAAACTCAGCAGTTATAACTTGTGAGGTCCACAAGTTGTGTTTGTTGGTTTAGTTTCACCCGACCCAGAGTTCTACCAGTTCTATCCCCTACAAGCCGACTTTACCAAATCATGCACGCCAACTTAGCTATCATTTTGGGGGCACCTTGTACATTTTCTTGATGGTTTATATCGGTTGATCACAAGTTCAAATCTTTTAAAACACATATTTATGGTTGATCATCAATCCCATTCCCTTCATATGAAACGCACGCTAGAAACCATGGTTTAATAGAATAGGATATTTACACACATTTGGGACCATACAATTGGGGTGTTTCATATTCAGGGGATGAGATTTCTCATTTGTAACCGGTTTATTTATGTAGCTGGATGAATCATATACAAGTATGAAACGATGTATATATATATATATATGTACGTATGTATGTATGTAATGTAATGTAATGTAATGCAATGCAATGCAATGTAATGTAATGTAATGTAATGGTATGTATGTATGTATGTATGTAATGTATGTAATGTATGTAATGTATGTAATGTATGTAATGTATGTAATGTATGTAATGTATGTAATGTATGTAATGTATGTAATGTATGTAATGTCATGTAATGTATGTAATGTCATGTAATGTATGTAATGTATGTAATGTATGTAATGTATGTAATGTATGTAATGTATGTAATGTATGTAATGTATGTAATGTATGTAATGTCATGTAATGTATGTAATGTCATGTAATGTATGTAATGTATGTAATGTATGTAATGTATGTAATGTATGTAATGTATGTAATGTATGTAATGTATGTAATGTATGTAATGTTTGTAATGTATGTAATGTATGTAATGTATGTAATGTATGTAATGTATGTAATGTATGTAATGTATGTAATGTATGTAATGTATGTAATGTATGTTATGTATGTTATGTATGTTATGTATGTTATGTATGTATGTATGTATGTATGTATGTATGTATGTATGTATGTATGTATGTATGTATGTATGTATGTATTAATGTAATGTAATGTAATGTAATGTAATGTAATGTAATGTAATGTAATGTAATGTAATGTATGTATGTATGTAATGTATGTAATGTATGTAATGTATGTAATGTATGTATGTATGTATGTATGTATGTATGTATGTATGTATGTATGTATGTATGTATGTATGTATGTATGTATGTATGTATGTATGTATGTGTGTGTGTGTATGTATGTATGTAATGTAATGTATGTAATGTAATGTATGTATGTATGTATGTATGTATGTATGTATGTATGTATGTATATATGTATATATATATATGTATATGTATATATGTATGTATATATGTATATATGTATATATGTATATATATATGTATATATGTATATATGTATATATGTATATATGTATATATGTATATATGTAAATATATGTAAATATATGTAAATATATGTAAATATATGTAAATATACATATACACACCACATATCAATCATTTTTTTGAGCTACGAGCAGGTGGACCTTCTGAGCTACGAGCGTCCGCGGGAGCTCCAGGAGTTGATCGACAGCCTGGGAGGGGGCCGGGCCAGTGCGGAAGCCCGGTGAAGCCGAAGGTGAAGCCGAAGGTGGGTGAGATATTTCAGTGATATATGGTTAATATGTGGTTAATATGTGGTTAATATGTGCTTGAGATCAGGATGAGATACTGTGGATTTTTCAGAAATACAAATTCCCATCTGGTAAACATCCCAGGATAATCCCATTATTTACAGTGTTTCATAGGAACCATTTTTGGTTCCCAAGTGGTGGATTTTTGTCCATCCACTGTGTGGTTACTTTTTTTGGGGTTAAATGGCAAGTATTGTGGTGATAATGATGGCAAGAGAATCACTTCACTTTTTCTTTTGCTTCAAAGATATGGCCAATCTACATGAATAATATGATATTAACATGGTTGAATATATGATTTACATGAGTTTTTTTAAAAATGGTGAAACCAAAAAAGGTAAATCATGTAAGATCCCATGAGTAATTTTTCGCGATTCCGAAATTGTTAAATCGATTAGGAGGTTTCCAACAAGTCATGGGGGTAGCCCAAAATCGAGTGGGTTTCAATACTAAGTCCCCGATTGAAAACGAAGCCACCAACGGGTGAATTTTTGTTTGGTTAGGATATGGACATGTATGAAAAATGGTCAAATTCCGTTTTCAAAGCATGACCTTTCTATTTTGACTTGGCGTTGGTATGATATTTTTCATAGAATTAGTAGAATGATATATATATATAATATACATACATATTCTGCTATAGACTGTAACTTTTCAAAGAACATACCCTCTGGTTATTTAACATAGCCATGGAAAATGGCCCATGTATGGATGATTTTCCCACTAAAACCTCCATTTATGGTTGGGATTTTCCATGGCTATGTTAAATAACCAGAGGGTATCTTTGTGATTGTTTTTCCATCCTGGCAGATTTTCCATCCTAACACCCTAGCAGATTTGGAGATGAAACCCAGGTTTCGGTTTCTACCAGGTAGGGGTACATCCTAGAACAGTTCACCCACCGGTAAACGTTTACATAACTGTAGAAAATCACCATTTTGAATAGGTAAATCAACTATAAATGGAGGGTAAAATCCATGAATATCCCATTAATATCCAGAGGATTCATATTAATATCCCTTTCAATAGCTATGTTAAATTATCAGAGGATCCATGGCTGCTTTATTAAAAACCATCCGGGGGATATTCCAATCAGCTTGGTTTTGAATACCTTGCTTCAACAAGATGGAATATCCCCAGGATTCATGGCATTTCGCTTATCAACGACCAACTCGGAGGCTGTTGATGGTCGTCAATGTGAATTGTTCATGATGGACAACTGTGATTTTTCTCTAAACATCGGGTTTTCCGGTTGATTTTGCCTTGAGTCAATCCATTGAAGTTAGCCCCAATTTAGCCCCTGCTTGGGGGTTATGAAAAATCATCATTGCCGGTATTGATGAGTTGGATACCAATAATGGGTTACTGTTTTCGGTTCAGCCAATAATGGCTACTGTTTTTTCGACCAAGAATGACAAGGGGCGTTAGGTGGGGTAAAAATCAACCGCGGTGACCAGTTATCCCATTTTGATGCTTTGAAGATAATTCTTCAGCTTACATTGTAAACCAGACCCGATCCAATTTGCCCAACCAGGTGTGTCATTTGGGCATTGAAAACCCCATCAAACAAGGGACTCATGAGATTCCGCTGGGAGAGTCATTTTTTGTATCCACCCAATGCTATGTCGAAGATCCCGAGATCCAAAATGACCAACTCAAATGGGTGTCATTTTACATAGACCATCCCATTTGTAGGGGGTATATATATATATATGTCGTATTTCATAAACCTCTAAATTGGAGATGTTTTTTTTTTTTTCCGGCTTTGAAAAAAATGACCGTGCTGCCTGCCCGTGCTTCCGTTCGCTCCGTAGAATGGGGAGATCTGGCGAGATCTGGGGTTTCTGAAATAGACACCCCCAGCCATAGAGGTTTTCAATGGTACAATGCCCGAAGCAAATTGAAGGTTTAAATATCGAACCATTGGAAACCTATGGCTGGAAAAAAAAATTAAACATCGAACTAATTTTTTTCAGGTTTGAATAGGAAAAAAATATAAAGATGCCGACAATACCTTGGACACATCATCGAACTAGCATGCTGGAAAAACACTGGGATCGATCTCTCTTTTTTTGGATTACTACAATGCATTGTGGGAAGCACTATCCTCTGGTAAACTGTCACATAACTATGGAAAATCACCATGCTATTAATGGGAAAATCCACTATTTCTATGGCCATTTTCAATAGCTATGTTAGTCATTACCAGAGGGTATCAACCATGACACTTGGGAGGAACTATTTTCTGACTGACCTGTTTGCCGCGCAGAGACTTGTTGATTAGGGCTAGACGCCCCTGGTCTTTGGGTACTCCTCGATCCCCAAAGAGGCTGTGCCAAAGTCCAACAATCATGATGTTTTCCACAGGAAGGCCCCCCTACGGCAGTGATGTTTGTTGGTTTATGTTCAGCCCATCAACTACTTCAATATATCCACCATAGACCCAACATTTCGCCCAGTTGTAAACCAACAGAAACCCATTGAAGTTGGCCACTTCCTGCAGGGTAGCTGTATTTCCCATGATTTTCCCTAGAAAAACCCTCCATAAATAGGGGATCTTCTCATATCTTCCTATGTTTTTTTCTGAAATTTTTGGAGATTTCTTAGCCCGGCCAAGGTGGCACCCGTTCCTATGTGTCCTTGGCCAATGCCGAGATTCCTCTGCGTGGTGTCTTGGAACACGGCGAGGTCAAGGTGTGGCCCTGATGGGATGGCACCATGGTACCCAGCTGTCATAGCTGTCATAGCTGGTTGATGCGACCTATTCCCCAAAGATGTTCGAACATATTTTGAGACCCATCCCTGGTCGTGGGTGAATAATCACCGATTTTAATGTGACTCATCCAGTTTTCTTTTTGTGGGATAAAAACTCACAAATCGGGAACTCACTTTTTGTGTTGTGAAAACCACTTCCGATGGGATGTTCCTGCAAGCACTGGAATAAACTGGGATAAGAATGGGGGTGTCATAGGATGATCTTCGAGAGATATTTCGTCAAAAGCAAATCCAAGTTATTGGTGCTCAAAGCTCCGCTCAAATCGCATGAAAATTCACCTGAAATCCCATCAAAAAAAAGAAGTGTAAATCCTATGAAATCCCTCCAAAAATCCATGAAATACCGGTGATTCAACAGTGTGCTATTGAAGCCATGACCCAGTCAAAAAAACGTGACTTTTCCCATGAACAGCATGGTGGATCTTTCCAGTTCGTTTTTTGTATGTTTACCAGAGGGTAATAGCTATTTTATGAGTATAGTCATCATATACTGTGGCTATATAATAATGATATCTATGATGTCTATGAGATCTATGATATATACTATGGCTACATACTGCTGATTTATATAATCAATTGTCATTTGCCATCATATCCCAAAATATAATTCCATTATTATCCCGTTGTTTACCAGAGGGTAAATCCCATCTGGTTGGTGGTATACCTACCCCTCTGAAAAATCATGGAGTGAAAGTCAGTTGGGATGATTATTCCATTCGCAACTGAATGGAAAGTCAGTCAGAATTCCATGCTTCCAGTCACCACCAACCAGTTATAATATGTCACTAACCTGAATATATTATCCCATTGTTTGAGGGTAAACACCATTAAATATACCATCAAATGGGGGTTTCCTAAAATAGGGGTACCCCCAAATCATCAATTTTAATGGGCCTTTCCATTATAAACAATCCATGATTATCCCATTGTTTAAACCACAGAGATTTCCTGGGCGGCCTGGAAACCTGGAAATAGTCAATGAATTGCCAGGCCAATCTGCGTCCAGCACCCTGGTTTTACGGTCTCGAGGCGACAGCCGTACAGCCGAGCCGTTCTCCGAGCCGTTTTGAAATTGCAGATGTGGCATGGGTCAACATGGGGATTTCAACGATTTCACTAGGGAAAATATGGGAAAATGAAGATTTTCAGTAGGGCAACTGAGGATTTCACAGGGGAAAATTTCGTGGTTGAAACTTGTTTTAAAGCACCAATAACTTGCTGGGTTGTTGACCAACATCGGAGGTTTAATTCTGTATCTGGATTATATAGGGATGTCTCTGAAAATATGGGTATGCCAGATAAATTTATAAAAAAAGCAGAGTGAGACAGCTCCAGATATGCCACCTAGCACATTTTCACATATGGAGTTGTCTCTGAAAATGGGGTAGATCACTTAAAATAGCCATCGAAAAAAAACGGCAAATAAGATGATGAACCAGTGGATTGCGGGTCTCCAATTTTCAGTCAACCGCCACACACACACACACATAGCTTTTTGGGATCAAGGCAGGCTTGAGAAAAAGGGACCCCCCACCGTGTGTGTGAGATTTTATGCGTTGATCCCACCATGAATGGTCGGGAATTCAGGGACCCAAGAAATTTTTCTATGAGTCCTATGAGCTGGATGGGTGCGGGCCCCAAGTAGTAAATGGCCAACAACTCAGGTTAATGACTGGCTTATGTCCTACATATAACATCATGTAACTGGGTGAACTAATATGGGTTTGTCTGAAAGTGGGGTACCCCAAATTCCCCTTGGTTTATCACGGTTTCCTCTAGAAATGACAATTTTGGATGATGTTTGGGATATCCCCTAAGTTGACAAACCATGACAAACCCATGTGGCTGGTACCCGCAGGCGCTTTATTCGGAGGATCACCGTACTCCCATCATCAGCTCGCATATTATCCTTGCAGTTACCCTCTGGTAAACTAACATAACTATGGGAAATCACCATTTTTAATGGGAAAACTCACTATAAATGGCCATTTTCAATAGCTATGTTAGTTTACCAGAGGGTATGAGGTCAAGAGGTGAGTGGGTCATATGAAAATTGAAACTTGAAGAGTCAACCGGATGGATTGTTTAGTAGTAACTCGTATTTTAATCTTGCGCTAAAAGTGGTGAGAGATAACACACATACTAAATACGAAACCAGCTAAACTACCCATCAATACCCACTGATTAATCTTTGTATATACCCTCTGGAAACTAACATAGCTATTGAAAATTGCCATTTATAGTGGATTTTTCCCTAAAAAATGGTGATTTTCCATAGTTATGTTAGTTTACCAGAGGGTAACACATATACTCTTATAGCGGTGCTGTATACAACACTTTATTAGGACATACATAGAATGACCAGCGAATTTCTCAGCAGAGTGTCAAAACCTGGCGCTCTGACAAAACCAAATGGATGTGGGTCAAAATGGAAGACCATGAATGGGACCACAGATGGAAATGTCTAGTTTAGTATAAACCATCCAATTATTGGGCTACCGAATTTTGACCCATACCCAAATATCGTATGATACATGGCTTTGTCTGAAAATAGTGTACCCCCTAATCCCATAGTTAATCATCATGTTCCCGAGTTTCAAAAACTAAGCAGACTTGGGGGATCAACTTGATCCACTTTTGATTTTCAGACACACCCTGTTTTCAAGTTGGTGATACCCTCCAGTAAATTAACATAGACCCTGCCAGTCATCGGATTTGGAAGATTAGTTTCCACTAAAAATTGGTGATTTTCAGGGTCAACAAGTTAACTTACCAGAGGGTATATCTCAGCAAATCACATCACCATTACCATTTCAGACTTGGGAAAAAACCACAAATCTTTGGGAAAAACCAGGCCTTTTTGATGGTGAAATCCTAGGAATCCAAGTTTCCCAGGAATTCCTAGGTTTTTTCCACCAACCAGTATATATATATATATATGTACATAAGGATGGTTAATGATGGTTCATGATGGTTCATAATGGTTCATAATGGTTTATATACATAAGAATTTATCATAGAATCATCATTATTATCATCATACAGTTAGAATTACGATTGGATTTCCATAATTCTGTCACTTAAAATCTCATCAATTTCCCACATACATTAGAATTACAATTGGATTTCCCAGAATTTCATCAGATTTTCCATTTTTTTTTAAAATACTGCGCTTATCTTGCAATTGAATACTGGTTGGTGGTTTGGAACATGAATTTTCTGGTTTTCCATATATTGGGAATGTCATCATCCCAACTGACGAACTCCACATAAGCATGGTTAATGATGGTTAATGATGGTTAATGATGGTTCATGATGGTTAATGATTAAGTTAATGATGGTTAATGATTAAGTTAATGATGGTTAATGATGGTTAATGATGGTTCATGATGGTTTATATACATAAGAATGCTTAATCTTGCATTTTAATATCATCAAATTAGCACATCTTTGGCTTTGCAACTCCCCAACTCCCCATCCTTTCGCTGCCGCTAGGATGGTGGGAAGGTGCATCGACAACGATGTGGCTTACTGCAGGTGACTGGGGGCATGATAGCGTGCAAAAAAGGGGATTAACCATCATTAAAATTGATGATTAAAATGGCTTCAAAATGCTATAATTATGGGATATTAATGGGATATTAATGGGATATTGATGGGATATGAATGGTATATTAATGGTATATTAATGGTATATTAATGGATTTTACCCTCTGGTAATTTGTTACATAGCTATTGAACATGGCCATAGAAAGTTCGTTGATTTACCGAACTAAAAGCATGGTGATTTTCCATAGTTATGTTAATTTACCAGAGGGTAATTACAAAGAGGGTATTATTCACTGAAATATCCACAGTTGGTTGATAGGTAATACCCATGGCTTATAAAAATCCCCAATAAATTAGGTAATGTCAACACCGGATGAAAATGAACCATGATTTCTGTATATTTTTGGGGGTATTCCCCCAATAGTCATTATTCGATACTTTTTGTTATGGTAGCCTCCCAATTGAACAACCGTTTGGGGTTTATGAATCCAGGGTTGACATTGCAAGGTGAGACCCCCCAGTTACTCTCTGGTAATTTAACGTAGCTATTGAAAATGGCCATTTATAGAGGATTTTCCCATTAAAAATGGTGGTTTTCCATAGTTATGTAAACGTTTACCAGAGGGTAGTTGATTTATGATCTCCAATAACAATAGTTATCTCAGGCAAAAGGCTGAAAATCGAGCCCGAAATCCGGTGGTTAATCATCATTTTCATTCATGTTCCCATTAAAGATTTTTAGCAAGAAATTTAGCTGTTTTTTTTTGTATCACATCATCTAGTAGAGCAAGAAAATCTTCACTCAATTCTTCTTTTTCTACTATAGTAAATATTCAAAATTGCCATTTATCATCATTTTCATTCATGTTCCCATTAAAAATATGGAAAAACTGCCATTTGGGGGGGATTTTTTCCCACCAGACATTCAGCCAGTTTTCATTCACCCGAGAGTTTTCCATGGAAAATCTGCGTGGCTAACCCCGGTGATGACTTTCCCTCCTTGGGGGATGCTGGGATGGGATGGTATACCCGGCCTGGTGAACGTTTACAAAAAGCGAACTGGAAAATGGCTATTGAAATCGTGGATTTTCCCATTAAAAATGGTGATTTATAGTGGATTTTCCCATGCAAAATGGTGATTTTCCATGGCAAAATGTTAGTTCACCAGGCCGGGTAAACATACAAAAAGCGAACTGGAAAGATCCACCATGCTATCAATGGGAAAATCCACTCTTTCGACTGGGCCATTTTCAATAGCTATTTTGACATAACCAGAGGGTAAACATTCCGTGCCAAGAGATTTTGGATGGTGGCTGAGCGGCTGATTGCAATTGAAAAAACTACTCCCAGTGTTGTGAAAAAACAGAACGTCGCACAAAGGGTATTGGTGACCACCTGACAATGTAATCTTCAACCCAAGTGGCTGTTGATAAAGGCGCGGGCCAACAGAAAAGGTGCTCAAAGATTGGATGGTCAATAGAGAAAATGCTCAATCTATCTGCAGTTCCAAACAGTTCTTGAATATTATTGGTGTAAATTGTGAATCCCAATACTAAGATTATCCAAGAAATATTGACCAATATCTCTGTTGACACTTGCAGTAACTAGCACCATACGCAGGCGTTTTTTTTTTGGCTGTTTTGAGGCATCCTTGGCTCCAAAGCACTCCGTAGTTTGGTCCCTCTAAGTGGAAAGTCTCTAACTGGTTGGTGGTTTCGAACATTTGGATTATTTTCCATTTCATCTATGGGATATATAATCCTTCCCATTGACTTTCACTCCATCATTTTTCAAGATGGTGATTGCACGCAGCACCAACCAGCTAAGCTTTGGACGAGTTTGTCAAAATCGTGGACCCGGAGGACCACACATGTCTCACCCTCTAAAAACAGTCTGCGACATTGAAGCCATGGCCATTGAAATAGTGGATTTACCCATTAAAAAATGGTGATTTACCCATGAAAAATGGTGATTTACCCATTGAAATAGTGGATTTACCCATTAAAAAATGGTGGATCTTTCCAGTTTGTTATGTTAGTTCGTTTACCAGTCCGGGTATCTTCAAAATGGAGGTACTGTACTATATAAGGCCTTATATATGGTAGGTACCTCCAATCAATCGGTTCCTGTTGCATGGCCAGTGACCCATCTTTTATGGGCAGATTTCCACCCAAAGCATTTTGGCGATCGAAAAGCGTGTGAGGGTCACGTGGCGGTGGACAACCGGCCTCGATATCAACAGCCACTGGACTGAGCCCAGTGCAGAGCTGGGTGCAATGGGGCTCCGGGTAGAGAGAATGACCAGTAATTGGATGATCCTAAAGATAGGCTAAAATCTGTGGTTCCCCAAGTCTGAAAAAAATTGACCCATAGCAATTTAGTGTCAACAAAAAAGGGGTACCGGGATCCTTACAATTCAATATTGGAATAGCTATAAACAGACCAGCAGAAACAGTTCGCAACTAGGGTTTTTAGACGCTACCCAAAAAGTTTTAACGACTTCGTTCGCAACGAAACCCAAGAATTGATGCTGAATCTTGGGGTTGCAAGTAATTTGAGAGGCTTGAATTTCAAGCAGGTGTGGACGTTATGATAGACAATCCAGACTTGATGGTTGTTGGGGTACTTATGTTTGTTGGTACACTCTGGTTATTTAACATAGCCATGGAAAATGGTCCATTTATAGATGATTTTCCCATTAAAACCTCCATTTATAAGGGATTTTCCATTTCGGCCCCAAGATCTACCACATTTGACTGCACAATCACCAGGTTTCTATGTCGCATAGCCAGGGGCCAAAAGTCACTGAATTGGCATTTTCCATCTCTCAAGAGGCTACGTCCTACATTCCTTCGATGTTACATAAATACACATTATTACTAATCCTGCATTAGTCATTTAATGCTTATAATAGTTATAATCATCTATTTTCATATTGATAATACTCATTGTATGATAATACTAATGATACTATTCCTTCCTGTTGGCTTATCAATGGTTCTACTGTATCCATCTGGACAAAAAAAACAACGAGCTCCTCCGAGCCACAAAAACGCTTCACTTCGATGTTAAACTGAACACACTGGGACCTCACTGGGAATCATGGTTAATAAGGAAAATCATCTCCAAATGGCCGAACAATTCAGGTTTGTGAATTGTTATAATTTGCCCAGATATATATATATATATATACATAGAATATATATATATACATAATATGCACATATAATATGTCTTGTCTGTTGCAGCTTCATGACTCAAAGACCCGATAGGAACCTCCAAGCTTAGAGAGAAGCGCTGAAATTTTCTTAGCACTATTTTGGAAATATGGATTCTACTTTTCCAAAAAAACGACCCTGAAAATAACCAATTTTTAATGGAAACTAATCTTCCAACTCCTATCTGCCAGGGTCTATGTTAATTTACTGGAGGGTAAAATTTCCATATTGTTTCCATATTTTTCGATCTGAACGTTTCGATCGGTTCCCCACCCCAGGGGCCCCATGCCGAATCGCCATGCCATCTCGCCATCTCGCCATCTCCGAGGACGGATGATGTGTCGGATGAGTTGGACCTCCGGAAACGATATCTCTTCGTGAAAATCATCAAGGTGGTTCCTTGGTATAGCTGTTTTTTTTTTGGGTTTTAATGGATTAATATGATTAATGATGGTTAATTATGGTTAATGGTTGTTAATGATTGTTAATGATGGTTAATCAGATGGATTGAATCACCATGGTTTCCGTAGTCATGGGGCTACCCCAATATGTAGCTGGATGGGGCCAATTTCATTGAAAATCTAACAAATTAAAATGGACGACTTAGGGGTACCCCATTTTAGGAAAACCCCATATAACCATAGATAACATTTGGGTTTGTGGAGATATAGCGAACTATTGAACGGGATTTCTAAACCACTTGTTCAATGCTTCTCACCTTGTGCTTAAAAACCCTGGTGAACGTAGGTAAGTCCCCTTTTTTCGTGGATGATCCCATTTACAAATGGGTGAGCCCAGTTACAAACCATTTAGACAGGCCTCTTCAGTGATTTAAGTGGAGAAAATGATCAGCACCTCAGATTTTGGGGAGAGACCTACAGATACCCGGCCTGGTGATGTCAAAATAGCTATTGAAAAAATGGCCATTGAAATAGTGAGTTTTCCCATTGAAAATGGTGATTTTCCATAGTTATGTAAATGTTTACCAGAGGGTAAACTAGGCTAAGATATTTCAAGACTCGACATCCGCAGCGGTCAAATTAAGGGAGCACAACAAAGTTCGCCCATCTCCATAGAAGTGGAGCTCACGTGTCATCAAACATGGCTGGAAAAAATCCCGAACTGAATGGAGATTTCAATTGGGCAAATCATCAAACTAATGTGGGTAAAACAATGTCATAAACCACCCATGACTGGGAATGGTAAACATACCACCTATTGGAACGGTGATGACTAGGGGATGGTAAACATGTCATTGTTTTACCCACACTAAATGGTCTGTTTTGATGATTGTAACGGTGGCCAGAGATGGTTTGTTGACCTGGGACAGCCATGACCCCCACCTCTCAAAATGTGAGCTGAATCTTCCAATCATGTTACGCCTCATGAATGGGGAATCTTGTATTAATCATTTGTTATTTGCGGGGGGATCACCATTTGTTATTTGTGGGGTGCCTAAATCACCATCACTTCATGCATTTTTGCGGAAATCCTGAGGGAATCGGTCACATGGCTTGAAAAATCCTCCAGCCATACAGGCCATGGCTAGTTTGGACATGTTTATCCCATTTCCATGCATATCTGATGATTATTTCATCATTATCCCTATATGAACCATACAAAACCATATTAAACAACCATGATCAAAGTCAGCCATATTAAACCTATCAAACAATCATATTTAACAGCCACATTGAACCGTATAGAACCATTAAAGTTCCATTTTGATGTGCAATCTTCCCATCAAAAAAGTGTGGGTCATCATTGTCAGTCCCCAAGTCGCTGGGAGCCTACAGGATAGGACCCCAAGTTCAGTTGCCTGAAAACAGTGGCTGAATTTTATGGTTTATGGTAGATATAACTATATAACTACAGTATTCAGAAGGATGTTTTTGGTTGGGGGTTTAGATCTACCATAGTTATAAAACATAGTTCAGATCCATTAACTATAGTTATATCTACCCTCTGGTAATTTAACATAGCTATGGAAAATCACCATGTTGAATGGGAAAACTCACTATAAATGGCCATTTTCAATAGCTATTTTGACATAACCAGAGGGTACCATGTTAATTGGTTATATCTATGGATGTTTTCATGGGGTTTATAAACCATAACCATAGTTATAAAACATAGTTCAGATCCATTAACTATAGTTATATCTACCATGTTAATTGGTTATATCTATTTAAACGATAGTTATCACCCACAGGGGGCACCATCCTGTCACCAAGTCATGACGAGGATCGGGTGGTGACCCCCGACACGCGTCCCACCGATGAGATCGATACCTTTGTGGAGGCAGATTTTTCCCCGGTGCCGGTGGTGGGTGAAATCACCATATTAACCCGGAAGAGTGGAAGAGCGGAAGGTTTGAAGGAGATCTGCCTATGATGGTTAGTGTTTCTGGGGTTAGTTCGCCCATTTTTTATAAATTAGATATTATAGCTATATCACAGTCCCATTACCCTCTGGTAACTTGACATAGCTATTGAAAATGGCCATTGAAAGAGTGGATTTACCCATGAAAAATGGTGATTTTCCATAGCTATGTTAATTTACCAGAGGGTACCATTAAACTAAGAACCATGAACTAATTAACTAACTACCATCAACTAAGTGTTTGATGGGTTAAATTAACGAAGTACCATTGACTAAGAACCAATCAACTCCATCAAACTCCATGAGCAAAGTATTTTTCTGGATGACCCCCCAGTTTGGGGTGAAACATCACTCCATTTTTGGGTGAGATCGGCGACGAGAAGATCCGCAATTTCTGGGTTGGATAAAGCTTAGGGGAGGGCATTTGCACACGGTTTGGGCATATACTGTACCTATATGTGTATATATATATATGTATATATATGTATATGTATAGATATGCATACATACATACATACCTACCTACCTACCTACCTACATACCTACCTACCTACATACCTACATACCTACATACCTACCTACCTACCTACCTACCTACATACCTACATACCTACATACCTACATACCTACATACCTACATACCTACGGACGGACGGACGGACAGACAGACATGAAGAAAGACAGACAGACAGACAGACAGACAGACAGACAGACAGACATACAGACATACAGACATACAGACATACAGACATACATACATACATACAGGCATACAGACCGACAGACTGACAAGCATACAGACATACAGACAGACATACAGACAGACATACAGACAGACATACAGACAGACACAGACAGACATACAGACAGACATACAGACAGGCATACATACCTACATGAAATGTATATATATATATATACATACATACATACATATGTATATATATATATACACATATATGTATACATATATGTATATATATATATATGTATGTATATATATATACATATGTATATATATATATATGTACTGTATATATATATATATGTATATATATATGTATATATATATATATGCATACACATACACATAGATTACTTCATTCACACCTTTCTGCGTGTGCCTGCATTCCGTTTCACATGGCAGCAATACAACCTGCAATGCCCTTTTTTACATTCCACGTCTAAACGACGATATTCCCATTGTGACTTTTATTGCAGTTTTTGTTGGTTGAACCCAACCTATCTTGGTTTAAAAGCCTATCTTTTGTCGGTTACCCTCGGGTAAACGTTTACATAACTATGGAAAATCACAATTTTTACTGGGAAAATCAACTATAAATGGCAATTTTCAATAACTATTTTGACATAACCAGAGAGTAATATCTGCATCCCACAAAATATGGTATGGTAGGTTTTGACCCCTTCCCATGTAGGATAATACAATGGGATGCAATGTTTCCAGCGGACTGTCTTTCGGAATGGGATTACGATCGTACAGTCAGTTGCCAAAGTCGTGCCCAAAATCATGGAAGTCAATATGCATAGTTGGGACGTGCTTTTCTGTTAATAAAATGCATAGGAACCGCCATCGTTTGCTGGATTTGGCCTTTGGAGCAGTTTCCGTGTTTTTAAACCTTGTATTGACTAGTAGGTTGTCTTTTAGCATCTAGCGCAACCTTTTCAACATTGAGTCCAATAATAAGATGTGAATGTTGCAATTAGATGGCGTTCTTTATCTTAATCTTCATCACACCTTAGCAGGATGGATATTTTTGTTGAGTCAAATTTCCCCGGCTAGATTTTTTTTGCGGATTTGCCCAAACATGGGGTATCTGCAATGCAAGGACCTCATTTTTTGACCTCTTTAAGAGGATAATTTATGTTCTACTGTAAACCAATGGAGTTTGGGATACCCCATTCTTGCACAAAACCAACGAGGTTCACCTGTGCAAAAAATGCTGTGACTAAGGCAGGCCAGAAATGGATTGCACCCCATCACGCAATGGCCTTAAAAACTAGCATGAAACCAGGTGGAAATGGGCAAAAGTATCTGTTCTATATTAGATTTCAGTGTTCAAGACCTTTCGGCTACACTTGCTGTGGTGAGTGTGTAATTTTTTGAGGAATGTCGGGTGCGCCGCAACGTGGCTACATGAATCCATCATTTGCTGACAAAGGTGCAGCAGATGAAACTGATGAGGTCGAGCTTCAGGTGCTGTGCTTGACTGGAGAAGGAGTGACACTGAGCGTCAGTCGCTCCATGCTTGGGTCTGACCTGCGCAGGTTGGTGTCAAAGAAGCTTTCATGCAAGCCAGGCGCAAAGCTCGTCGTGCATCATGTGAATGGAAAGCTGAAGCTGCATGAAAACTTGGGAGACCAAGGGATTATTGGTCAAACTGCAGTGCTGTCCTGCACTTACATACCAACTGATGTGTATGCAGCCTGGCGTTATTCCTGTGAGCTCCCAAATTGTGAGAGAGAGTTTGCACTAGAAGGTGTTACACATCTTGAAGGAGCAACGCATGGAGAATATTTACACCATCTCCCCTGCAGCCTTGCAAGCCTGAGTTTTGGCGACAATTTTGACCAAAGCCTGGACCGGGTGACCTTGCCATCGAGCCTTCAAAGCCTGAGTTTTGGCGACAATTTTGACCAAAGTCTGGACCGGGTGACATTGCCATCGGGTCTTCAAAGCTTGAGTTTTGGCTTTCATTTCAACCAAAGCCTGGAGCAGGTGACCTTGCCATCAAGTCTTCAAAGCTTGAGTTTTGGCAGGAAGTTCCGCCATAGCCTGGAGTGGGTGACCTTGCCATCAAGTCTTCAAAGCTTGAGTTTCGGCCATTGGTTCAACCAAAACCTGGAGCGGGTGACTTTGCCATCGAGCCTTCAAAGCCTGAGTTTTGGCTACAATTTTGACCAAAGCCTGGAGCGGGTGACCTTGCCATCGAGTCTTCAAAGCTTGAGTTTCGGCTCTAGGTTCAACCAAAGCCTGGAGCGGGTGACCTTGCCATCAACCCTTCAAAACTTGAGTTTTGGCCAGGATTTCAACCAAAGCCTGGAGCGGGTGACCTTGCCATCGAGTCTTCAAAGCTTGAGTTTTGGCAAGGATTTCAACCAAAGCCTGGAGCGGGTGACGTTGCCATTGAGTCTTCAAAGGTTGAGTGTTGGCAATCACTTCAGCAGCATGGAGCAGGTGACCTTGCCATCGAGCCTTCAAACTTTGAGTTTTGGTGAGGATTTTAACCAAAGCCTGGAGCGGGTGACCTTGCCATCGAGTCTTCAAAGCTTAAGTTTTGGCATTAGGTTCAACCAAAGCCTGGAGCGGGTGACTTTGCCATCGAGCCTTCAAAGCCTGAGTTTTGGCGACAATTTCAACCAAAGCCTGGAGCGGGTGACCTTGCCATCGAGTGTTCAAAGCTTGAGTTTTGGCCTTCTGTTCAACCAAAGCCTGGAGCGGGTGACCTTGCCGTCGAGTCTTCAGAGCCTGACTTTTGGCGGTACGTTCAACCAAAGCCTGGAGCAGGTGACCTTGCCATCGAGTCTTCAAAGCTTAACTTTTGGCTGTAGGTTCAACCAAAGCCTGGAGCAGGTGACCTTGCCATCGAGTCTTCAAAGCTTGAGTTTTGGCGCTTACTTCAACCAAAGCCTGGAGCGGGTGACCCTGCCATCGAGTCTTCAAAGCTTGAGTTTTGGCGAGGAATTTAACCAAAGCCTGGAGCGGGTTACTTTGCCATCGAGTCTTCAAAGCTTGAGTTTTGGCGCTGACTTTAACCAAAGCCTGAAGCGGGTGACCTTGCCATCGAGTCTTCAAAGCCTGAGTTTTGGCGACAATTTCAACCAAAGCCTGGAGCGGGTGACCTTGCCATCGAGTGTTCAAAGCTTGAGTTTTGGCGCTAGGTTCAACCGAAGGCTGGAGCGGGTGACCTTGCCATCGAGTCTTCAAAGCGTGAGTTTTGGCAAGGATTTCAACCAAAGCCTGGAGCGGGTGACCTTGCCATTGAGTCTTCAGAGCCTGAGTTTTGGCGGTTTGTTTAATCAAAGCCTGGAGCGGGTGACCTTGCCATCGAATCTTCAAAGCTTTGGTGCTTGTAGTGGTGGCGATTTATCATGCAATGTCTTTGTCAGTTGTGCTGGCTGTGCTTAAATTGTTTTACATGTTACTCAATAGACGTCGAAGCAAAAGAGGCTTGCGTTCGCAGGGATGCTTGAGGCTGGTCAATGTTGTTCGTGAAATCTCCATTTTTCTTGGTGCACTCCGCATTTTGGGTTGGGGAAAAATCGCCATTTTTGATGATCATATGTGCCGTGGTCAAAACATTGTCTATGGGTTGTGGTCATCCATGTGGTCATCCATCTCATATTGAGAATCATATTTTTCAAATCCGTGTGATGGATACCCTCTGGTAATTTAACGTAGCTATTGAAAATGACCATGCTTAATGGGAAAACTCACTATTTCAATGGCCATTTTCAATAGCAAACTGTTAAATTACCAGAGGGTAAATCCCTTTGAAAAAATGTAAACATGGATTCACAGTCAATCCATCTTTTATTGGAAAACAACAAGCCGGAGCCCGTTTTGACACGGAGCACGCAGAGCACAGACCCATCGCACAGAGAATCTCAGTGGCTGGGTGTGTCTGAAAATAGGGTATATTCCCATTGGATAAATGGCTATTGAAAAATGGTTTTGCTGATCATGAAATCCCTATTAAATGGCTATTAAATGGGTTTGTATGATCATGAAATAGCCATAAAAAATAGGGATAATGATCAGCAAAACCATTGGGTACAATGGGGTACACAACATTTTCAGACACACCCTTAAATAGTTTAGTCCAAAATTCAGGACATGGAACATGTGTATAAGCCGTCATGGACCAGCAGACATAATGAAAAAGTAACAATAAGTAACAAACATATCCAAGTTGGCAGCCTCATAGCAAAGCCGCCCCTTTGGGTTGCAACAAAGGCACTATCTCAAACTAGCCAAGACAAAGGCATCAATTCAGGTGACTGACGCCACAGCGTAGTGTACAAAGCAAGGTGGCTATTCGCGGCAAATAGCTAAAAAACTGAAAAATAACAATTCTTCAAGCCCGAAAAAATCACGTAGACCGCAGGCATAGCATCCATAGTGGTTGTGTTCCATTGGCTCAAGACATACCAGGAACATCCACAAGAAATAACAGCTCCCCTGGAAGCAAAGGGCCGGGCGGCCCTACTCACGGCAGGATCCCTGTATCAAAATCTCAGGTCTGGTTGACTCTGGGCTCCACTAACGTTGCTCAAAAGCACATTGCTCAAGGGAAACCCCCACCTCACTCATCACCAAAAATCTAGATCAAAGCCAACGGCAAATCAAGAAGTTGAAAATCGCAATGCAAAGGCATCTCTAGTTGGCAGCGAACGCGAGTCACTGAGTTGTATGGTACAAGGTGTAGGCAATAAGCAAGTAGGGGAGGAAGTGTATCACAGAAACGTCAAGGCTTTCCACAGAAACTGCAGACATATCAGCGCACACATGTCATGGCTCTATCGGTTAGGCATGCTCCCCATCACCCGTAACAGCCTCGCCACGTGAAGGCTAGAGCCACAGAGGCTACCCTTGTTTTGACCATGGCACATATGATATTACCATATTTTTTGATCAGAAACGATGACATCTTCATTTTTCATAATTGTTCTTGGTGACCACACCATTTTTGATTCGTGAAATCACTATCTTTGATCTTTTAAACCCACCAAAATACCTACAAATGACGATTAATTCCAATCAAGTCCCATTTTTCATGGGTTAAATCCATCATTTTTAAACCTTGTATTAGCTAGTAGGTTGTCTTTTAGCATCTAGCGCAACCTTTTCAACATTGAGTCCAATAATAAGATGTGAATGTTGCAATTAGATGGCGTTCTTTATCTTAATCTTCATCACACCTTAGCAGGATGGATATTTTTGTTGAGTCAAATTTCCCCGGCTAGATTTTTTTTGCGGATTTGCCCAAACATGGGGTATCTGCAACGCAAGGACCTCATTTTTTGACCTCTTTAAAAGGATAATTTATGTTCTACTGTAAACCAATGGAGTTTGGGATACCCCATTCTTGCACAAAACCAACGAGGTTCACCTGTGTAAAAAATGCTGTGACTAAGGCAGGCCAGAAATGGATTGCACCCCATCACGCAATGGCCTTAAAAACTAGCATGAAACCAGTTGGAAATGGGCAAACGTATCTGTTCTATAGTAGATTTCAGTGTTGAAGACCTTTCGGCTACACTTGCCGTGGTGAGTGTGTAATTTTTTGAGGAATGTCGGGTGCGCCGCAACGTGGCTACATGAATCCATCATCTGCTGACAAAGGTGCAGCAGATGAAACTGATGAGGTCGAGCTTCAGGTGCTGTGCTTGGCTGGAGAAGGAGTGAGACTGAGCGTCAGTCGCTCCATGCTTGGGTCTGACCTGCGCAGGTTGGTGTCAAAGAAGCTTTCATGCAAGCCAGGCGCAAAGCTCGTCGTGCATCATGTGAATAGAAAGCTGAAGCTGCATGAAAACTTGGGAGACCAAGGGATTATTGGTCGAACTGCAGTGCTGTCCTGCACTTACATACCAACTGATGTGTATGCAGCCTGGCGTTATTCCTGTGAGTTCCCAAATCGTGAGAGAGAGTTTGCACTAGAAGGTGTTACACATCTTGAAGGAGCAACGCATGGAGAATATTTACACCATCTCCCCTGCAGCCTTGCAAGCCTGACTTTTGGCAACATGTTCAACAAAAGCCTGGAGCGGGTGACCTTGCCATCGAGTCTTCAAAGCTTGAGTTTTGGCGCTAGGTTCAACCAAAGCCTTAAACGGGTGACCTTGCCATCAACCCTTCAAAACTTGAGTTTTGGCGAGGATTTCAACCAAAGCCTGGAGCGGGTGACCTTGCCATCGAGTCTTCAAAGCTTGAGTTTTGGCGAGGAATTTAACCAAAGCCTGGAGCGGGTGACCTTGCCATCGAGTCTTCAAAGCTTAAGTTTTGGCATTAGGTTCAACCAAAGCCTGGAGCGGGTGACTTTGCCATCGAGCCTTCAAAGCCTGAGTTTTGGCGACAATTTCAACCAAAGCCTGGAGCGGGTGACCTTGCCATCGAGTGTTCAAAGCTTGAGTTTTGGCGCTAGGTTCAACCGAAGCCTGGAGCGGGTGACCTTGCCATCGAGTCTTCAAAGCTTGAGTTTTGGCGAGGAATTTAACCAAAGCCTGGAGCGGGTGACCTTGCCATCGAGCCTTCAAAGCCTGAGTTTTGGCGACAATTTTGACCAAAGCCTGGAGCGGGTGACCTTGCCATCGGGTCTTCAAAGCTTGAGTTTCGGCTCTAGGTTCAACCAAAGCCTGGAGAGGGTGACCTTGCCATCAAGTCTTCAAAGCTTAAGTTTTGGGGAGTCTTTCAACCAGAGTCTCGAGCAGGTAACGTTGCCATCGAGTCTTCAAAGCTTGAGTTTTGGCAAGGATTTCAACCAAAGCCTGGAGCGGGTGACGTTGCCATTGAGTCTTCAAAGGTTGAGTGTTGGCAATCACTTCAGCAGCATGAAGCGGGTGACTTTGTCATCGAGTCTTCAAAGCTTGAATTTTGGCGACTGTTTCAACCAAAGCCTTAAACGGGTGACCTTGCCATCGAGTCTTCAAAGCTTGAGTTTTGGCTTTCATTTCAACCAAAGCCTGGAGCGGGTGACCTTGCCATCGAGTCTTCAAAGCTTGAGTTTTGGCTTTCTTTACAACCAAAGCCTGGAGCAGGTGACCTTGCCATCAAGTCTTCAAAGCTTGAGTTTTGGCAAGTATTTCAACCAAAGGCTGGAGCGGGTGACCTTGCCATCGAGTCTTCAAAGCTTGAGTTTTGGCGTTCGGTTCAACCAAAGCCTGGAGCGGGTGACCTTGCCATCGAGTCTTCAAAGCTTGAGTTTTGGCGCTAGGTTCAACCGAAGCCTGGAGCGGGTGACCTTGCCATCGAGTCTTCAAAGCTTGAGTTTTGGCGCTAGGTTCAACCAAATCCTGGAGCGGGTGACCTTGCCATCGAGTGTTCAAAGCTTGAGTTTTGGCGCTAGGTTCAACCGAAGGCTGGAGCGGGTGACCTTGCCATCGAGTCTTCAAACTTTGAGTTTTGGCGAGGAATTTAACCAAAGCCTGGAGCGGGTGACCTTGCCATCGAATCTTCAAAGCTTGAGTTTTGGCTCTAGGTTTAACCAAAGCCTTGAGCGGGTGACCTTGCCGTCGAGTCTTCAAAGCTTTGGTGCTCCTAGTGGTGGCGATTTATCATGCAATGTCTTTGTCAGTTGTGCTGGCTGTGCTTAAATTGTTTTACATGTTACTCAATAGACGTCGAAGCAAAAGAGGCTTGCGTTCGCATGGATGCTTGAGGCTGGTCAATGTTGTTCATGAAATCTAAAAAATGTTTTCTAGTTAAATCTCCATTTTTCTTGGTGCACCCCGCATTTTGGGTTCGGGAAACATCGCCATTTTTGATGATCATATGAGCCATGGTCACAACATGGTATATGGGTTATGGTCATCCATGTGGTCATCCATCTCATATTGAGAATCCGTGTGATGGGTATATGAATCCCTTTGAACAAATGTGAACATGGATTCATGGCCAATCCCTACTTTTATTGGAAAACAACCCTTGTTTTGACAGGCAGCTTGCGGACCAGATCCACTGTCTCATACTCCATGCTCAGGTGGCGGAGGTAAGAGGTTGAAACTTGCAAAAATCTGCGCACAGCAGAAGTGAATTAAAGCTAATTAATTCCCACATCTTTTTTTCTTCATGAAGGCCATATACTTCTGAAATCTCGTAGGGACAACGGGGAGGTTTGGGCCCAGAAGCTACCCTTGTTTTGACCATGGCACATATGATAATACCACATTTTTTGATCAAACCTGGCGAAATAGCAATTTTTCAAAATAGTTCTTCGTGAACCCAGAATTTTTGATTGGTGTTTCACCACTATGTTTGATGTTTAAAAACCCTGTCAAATCCCTACACATGATGGTCAAATCCCATGAAGTCCTTCATTTTCATGGCTGAAATCCACCATCTTTGATAGATCATTAATATCCCATTATCATAGAATTGGATGACGGGAAAATTTACAGGAAAGCCCTATATTTGATGGTAAAAACCATGGTTTCCTGTAGATTTTCCCTTAAACCAATCCAATGACATTAATATCCCATAAATATACCATTAATATCCATTAATATCCCATTTATTTACCATTAATATCCCATTAATATCCCATAAATATAGCATTTTCAAAGCGAAGATCACCACCTGATTTCTTGGGTGAAACGAGCGAGAGCGGTGACTTCGTCTCAGGTGACCTTCGATTCGGTGGCCAAGCGGACTCGGATCTGTCAGGCGCTCACGACTGACTACTTGGTATAATTATGGGATATTACTGGTATATTAATGGTATATTAATGGTATATTAATGGGATATTAATGGTATCTTAATGGGATATTAATGGTATATTAATGGGATATTACTGGTATATTGATGGGATATTACTGGTATATTAATGGTAATGGGATATTAATGGTATATTAATGGGATATTAATGGTATATTAATGGTATATTAATGGTATATTAATGGGATATTAATGGTATATTAATGGTATATTAATGGTAAATAAATGGGATATTAATGGGATATTAATGGGATATTAATATTAATGGGATATTAATGGTAAATAAATGGGATATTAATGGTGTATTAATGGATTTTACCCTCTGGTAATGACTGTTACATAGCTATTGAACATACGAGACACCCCATGAATGTTCGTTGATTTAGCTATTCAAAATGGTGATTTTCCAGTTCGCAAACTGTAAACGTTTACCAGAGGGTACTGTAAGATCCGTGGTTTGTAATGCATTAATCTAACCCATATTTTATCCCATGATCCAGTTGAAATATTCCACTAATCGAATGGTTTTTTTGGATCCATAAAACCTAAGTAGGATGAACCGAAAAGTAGGGTAAATTCACATCAAACATGTTGATTTCATGGGGTTTGCATGGGATTGATATGGGATTTCATGTGGCAAGTCATGGAATTTTTCACTTACTTGGAGGTACAGTTGGGGTGACCAAATGGTGCAGTACAACTATGAGATTTCAGGTTTAAGTTGCAATGTGAGGCCCCCAAACGTGATGTTTGTTGGTTTAGATTCGCCCCAGTAACTAGTTCGTTATTTGCATACCATAAACCATAGTGAAATTGGACTTATGTTCACCAACTTAGCGATTCCGAACGGAGGCCTCACATTGTGGGTTATTAGTGGAACTAACTGCACAGCCAAGTATTACCGGTTTTCCACACCATTTCGATGTGCAAAACCCAGCATGAAAGTAGAGAAAATTGTCCGCAGAAACCATGGGGGGTCCCACATCTATGGTAGTTTAAGCCAGGGTGATTTTTTTTAACCCTCTGGTAAACGTTTACATAGCTATGGAAAATCACCATTTTTAATAGGTAAATCAACTATAAATTGCTATTTAGTGGTGATTTAATAGACTTGAATAGGGATTTAATGGAGATATACCCTCTGGTAAACGTTTACAGTTTGCGAACTGGAAAATCACCATGTTTCATGGGAAAACTCACTATTTCTATGGCCATTTTCAATAGCTCCGGATGTCACTGGAATGATTAGAGTAGTTTATAGGGGTGATTTTTTCCCAAATGACCTAATTTTTTGGTGATTTTCTACGGTAGGTGGATTTAGTTCATATCCCATCCGTATCCCATGAAAAATCATACTATGTCAGTCCCAGATTTCTCCATCATAACATAGTTAAGTCCTCCTTAGTTTCCATATTTTCATATGGGTATGGGTCAAAATTAGGTACCCCAATAATTGGATGGTTAATACTAAACTAGACTAACATCTGTGGTCCCCTAGGTCTTCCATTTTGACCTACATCCATATCCCGTGAATATTTTTGATTAGTCCCTACATATCGTCAACGGGTTCAGCCCGACTTTCCCGGCTGTTTCACAAGGTGTGGCCCCAAATCGTGATGTGAAGTTTGGTTGAGTTTCACCCCATGATAGAACTATAGTTGGGCCATCAACATCATACCTTGTTGATTGGTCAATGTAAGGATCCATATGCGTTTTTAACCATCAAACATGGAGATATAACATTATACAACTGAAAAATATCTTGTTTGATTGGTGAAACTGTTGGGAATACTAGCTAATTTCTTGGGCATTGTGATTACCCCATAGGATTGGGACATCAACCGCCATTGAATGGCTGAGGAGTACTTAACCACCTACAACTTGTAGTATTTATAGATGGGATAGGATATGATAAGAGTATTTTTAATGGCTCAGTTATAAGTTATATCCCCCTAATCAACCCAACAGTTCACCAAGGCAGTTCTATGCGTCAACTTCGCTGTTGCCTCAGTTTATCTATATACCACGAACTAGTTCGATACATCTACCTTGACGTACCATTACCCTTATGCCCCCTTATGTTTTTTATTTTCAGCGCACAAACCATGTTTTTTTTTTTTTTAAACGATAGATATATCTACCATAAGCCATGACCAAGTGAGCGACAACTTCGCAATTTCGTAAACGGGGGTCTGATTTTGCAGGAATTTTGTCGCAATTTCCATGGCAGGACGATGTGTCTCCAAGCTTCAACGATGATTTGGTCTTTGAGCTGTCCTTGGCCAAAACGAGCAGTCACTTGATGAGGAAAGAGGACAGTTTCCAGCGATGGAGGATTTAGCCGGCAACAAATGGTGATTGAACCATCAAAAATGATGATTGTACTATTGAACATGGTGATCTATTCTTCAACAAATGGTGATCTACCCATGAACTAGGTGTTTCAAGCATGCCATATAGTGATAAATCATTGATCAGTGATGGCTGTTGAGGTCTTTTTTGGGAATTTAATGCCATTTATATCGTTTGAAACCACTTAACCAAAACTGGTTGGTGGTTTGGAACATGATTTTTATTTGTCCATATCTTGGGAATGTCATCATCCCAACTGGTCCGAACTCCATCATTTTTCAGAGGGGTAGGGCGAAAAACCACCAACCAGAGATGATATGTGTCCTGGAATTTCCAGATTTCCAATTTTTCCATCGAAAATTGGTACCCCCAATCAGTGCTGGGTGTTTGTGAAACACCAGGATTTGCTGAGTTTTCCCCTTTTTTGGGTATTTCCAAGTGGTTTACTATCAGCATGGGGAATCTGTTGGGAATCTATACATAGGAAAACATATATCTACTGTATATGATATATATATATGGACCTCTAAAGCAATTCCAGGAACATGGGATTTCACAGAAACTAGAGGTGGCTATGTGGATATGTGGATATCTCAGGGACATATGTGTTATTTTTCAGGTTGCGAATTGTTGAATTTCAGAGGTGTATCTGATGAAAACATGAATCTGCTGAGAGAGGCCAAGAGAAAAAGATGTGATAAGTTTGTACCATCTGGGTGTGTCTGAAAATGGTGTATACCCTAAGTGGCCGTTTTCATCGGGAAAATCAGTGGTATTTTCATGGGGCATACTGAAGTGAGTTGAGGTAGAAGCTAAGGCTCTGTTTTTGAACGGCTGCTTTGCCTAGTTGCCACCCCCGACAAGCCAATCACTGTTCCCCAAAAGCAACGACCCCAACAGCAGCGGCAGACATCATAAATTGCCAAACGCGCCATGAGGTAGCAATGAACGGCAGGATGACAACGAAGCCACATGGGAGGACGACACGTTGACCGTGGGAAGCTGAAAAAAGGTGTTGTTGTTCTGCAGTGTGGCGCCTACCATCTGGTAAAGTAACAAAAAGCTATTGAACATGGCCATTTATAGTTGATTTACCAATTAACTATGGTGATTTTCCAGTTCGTTATGTCAGTTTATCAGAGGGTAATTGGGATTTCTAAGTTGGTTTAGGACTAACATAACTAGGCTTTCTGATAGATCTTCCAAAAGTAATACAGGCTTTTGCAAACCGACCTATAACGGGGCATCCCAATAGGAATCCACATGATGGACATTCATGGGACATCATAACTGGGATGGTGAATTCAAGCAACAGCAAGTGTTTTTTTTGCCAACCACAGTATAGTGAGACAATGGATATATATATATATACTGGTTAGTGGTTTGGAACATTTGGATTATTTTTCCATATATTGGGAATTTCATCATCCCAACTGACGAACTCACATTTTTCAGAGGGGTTGAAACCACCAACCAGTTAGCAATATAGGATACCCTCTGGTAAACGTTTACATAACGAACTGGAAAGTCACCATGCTATTCATGGGAAAATCCACTATAAAAATATGTATATGTTGGGATCATTTGGGATCTATTTCACCAAAGTATCTGATGTTCTCCAAAGATTTTCCCACCAGATGCGGTGATGCGGTGATCGACCCGGCCCTAAACGTTGATTTCCCGGCCCGGTGGGGTTGCAAGAGAAGGGATCAAGCCGCAGTTTGTGACTGGTTGGTGGTTTCAAACATTTGGATTATTTTCCATATTTTTCCATTTCATCTATGGGATGTCATCCCAACCCCATTGACGAGGTGTCCATCATTTTTCAAGATGCTTAAACAGAAAACCACCAAGCAGATATATCTGGGTGAATCTTATGGTGAATGATGGTTAATTCATAGTAATTTAACATAGCTATTGAACTTTGCCGTAGTAAAATACTTCATTTTCCCATTAATAGCATGGTGATTTTCCAGAGCTATGTAAAGGTTTACCAGGCCGGGTAATTCATGGTTTATAACGGTTTATGATCCCAACTGACGGTTTGTCCATGATTTTTCAGAGGGGTAGGTTGAAACCACCAACCAGCTAAGCTTTGGAGCATTTGACTGGGAAAACCCATAGGTCTGTGAGGATTTTGGGATTCCAAGTCCTGTTTTTTCGGATTGTTCTCATACACTTTGACTTTTAGATACCCTCTGGTAACCATACATAAAAACGTCTAGTAATTTACCCTCTGGTAAACGTTTGCATAACGAACTGGAAAATCACCACTTTTAAGTGCGGTAAATCAACTATACCTGGGCCATTTTTCACAGCGAACTGTTAGTTTATACCAGAGGGTAAACCTCCATTTTCCTATAGTTTTCCTATGGGTTTTCCCATGAAAAAACCTCCATTTTCCCGTGAAATTTAAGCCCCATCCAGCTACATAGGACTGGCTGGCTTCTAAAAGCTGGGACTGTAGGATGGAATTAGGATGATCCTTGGTGATGATTTCTATGGGATTCCTGCTGATTCATATTGATGCGATATATCTATATCATTCTATATCTATACCCGGCCTGGTAAACGAAGAAAAAGCTATTGAAGCCATGGCCATAGAAATAGTTGATTTACCCATTAATAGCATGGTGATTTTCCAGTTCGTTATGTAAACGTTTACCAGAGGGTAATTGGGATTTCTATGGGATTTCTATGGGATTCCTATTTTTTCATCGTTGCATCGACCTTTTTGTGTAAGACCCACGGACTCGTGAGTGTTTAGTTTAGTTACTGTAGTGGGGTTACTGTTGCGGGTTGCTATAAATGGACGAAGATCGTGTCGAAAATAGATCCCATAACAGAGTTTATAGACAAAAAATAGATTGATCACATGACATGGATATTTTCTTGGACATAATTGACATCATATTCTTGGACAACAGAGAGTTGACAACATGATAACTTTGGCTGGTTAGCGATGGTCCAGAGCATTGATTTCCGTGATTTGTCAGTGTGACGGGTCTGCAACTTTCCAATCCTCCCCAATAGGCGGCTTGTGGTGTTAGGTCAATCCAATAAATCGGATAGTTACGATGATAACCAATTTACATGTTGGTTCCTAATCCATCATGTTCGTTATAACCATGTTGGTTGCTAGCCAGACTGACGGGTTGTACAACTGTCACAACTTGATTATATTGCTGCTACTTAATCACACCCGGAAACTGAATCCATCAATAGTAGCACACTTATTACAACTTTAATAGAATGATGTAAATCCCACTATAACTGGATTATCGTTATTGCTGGGATAGCATATAGACTATCATATCAAAAACAGACATATTTATGATTGGATCAATTACATTAGACTATAGAATGGCATGCTGAAATGATACAAATATGATGATGTACTAGTTCCCAGAAAATCCCAACCACTCATTTTCGCCTGGATCAATTGTGGATTATATTATTATGGGGGGTAAAATGAGTCTGACATCGCTCTTATATACATACTCAATCTAACATTTCAACCAAGGAACGCAATAAGGGCCATATTTAGCTGGTTGGTGGTTTGGAACATTTTTTATTTTTCCATATATTGGGAATTTCATCATCCCAACTGACGAACTCACATTTTTCAGAGGGGTTGAAACCACCAACCAGTTCGCAATATAGGATACCCTCTGGTAAACATACAAAAAGCTATTGAACATGGCCCAGTCGAAATAGTTGATTTACCCATTAATAGCATGGTGATTTTCCATAGTTATGTAAACGTTTACCAGAGGGGTTACCACCAACCAGATACTTATATCTACCATAAACCATAGTTATATCAATGAAACAATCGGGCCATATTTAGCAATAGATAGATCTTCAGAATCTTTGGACCCCAGCGTTTTTTTTTTGCGCTTCACCGTCTTCCCAGCGGTTACGAAAGCGTTAGGAGTTGGAGCGCAAGGGCCCAGTGTTCATCGACCTTTGGACCGTAGGCGCGGCAGCGACAAAGCGTCGGTTCGCTTGAACCAAAAAGGGCGGTTTCACCAACGAAACGGGGGGAGTTACTTTAACAAAAGGGGGGGATTACAGTAACCAACGAAAAATGGGCTTTACCCGGCCTGGTAAACATACAAAAAACTATGGAAAATCACCATGCTATTAATGGGTAAATCAACTATTTCGACTGGGCCATGTTCAATAGCTTTTTGTATGTTTACCAGAGGGTAATACAACAAAGGTGGTTTAAGCAAAGAAACATTGGGATTCAATCAACAATGAATCGAAATCGTGCGGATAAAAAAGAGCGAAACATCGGCATTTCATGGGGGTACCAAAATGACCCACAAAAGGGCTGGTCATTCGGTATCCAAGTCCCCAAAGTTGGGAGACAGTGGCACCCGTTTGGAGGGGAAATTCAGTGAAGCTCAGAGGGTTGGATTGACCCAAATTGACCCAAGCTGTAGGGTACAGGATGGGGCCCCAGTTCGTTAGATAACTATAATAACAATAGTCAATAGTGTATGATACTTACACATCACTGGTTTTCCCCATCCTGTAAGGATGGAGATTTCTACCCTCTGGTAATGACTCTTAGGTAGCTATTGAACATGGCCATAGAAATAGTGAGTTTTCCCATGAAAAAATGGTGATTTTCGATAGTTATGTAAACGTTTACCAGAGGGTATATCTCCATTAAATCCCTATTCAAGTCTATTAAATCACCACTAAATAGCAATTTATAGTTGATTTACCTATTAAAAATGGTGATTTTCCATAGTTATGTAAACGTTTACCAGAGGGTATACCTTCACGGATGGATCCAATGTTTTGAAGACTTGCTGGTCTTCATTCGTCATTTTTTGATTTTCAAGGCTAGAAACTTTTGAAAAGGGGTGATGACGCTTATGATCATATTGCCGGGATGAGTTGAAACTGCCGACCAGATGAGTAAGGATGAAATCTATTCAGATATATAAAAAACATATATTATCCACATATATGGCACAGACAGATGACCATAATTATTCCGATTTCAATATTCCGATGTTGTTCTAGTTGAGGATTGTCAGGTTTTATATTCAACTGATGGTCAATCTGAATATTTTATCTCCAGAACGGGTAACACACAGACACACACACACACGACTGAAACACAAGAATGTGGGTATGCGTAGATGTACAAATGTTTGACCTCCCCTTTTTGTTGCCGCGTAGATGTACAACGCCATGTTTAACATTCCATCCCTTCGATGTTTTTTTTTCAGCTCGCTTTTTTCAGGCTCCAAAAGCAATGAACACCTTGGAGCCGTTGAGGCATACCTTCAGGCACCTCGTTGAAAAAATTGAGCAGTGGCCGCTATCAACCCCTGTTGATGACTCTAGGGAGTTATATTATCCAATAAAAAAAGGGGACTATCACAATCCATTGTGGAAATCCCTATAAAAAACAACCAGTATAAAGAGACGACATTTCCGGTTTTGAACATTCCTCATTTGGCCTGGAGTTCTTTGTCTCAGGAGTCTTTTAAATTTACCCTCCGGTAATTTAACATAGCTATTGTAAACGTTTACCAGAGGGGAATCACCCCAACAATGGCTTGACTCTTGCTGCCGAAATCCCCCTTAAAAATCCCCAAAAATCAACACGTGGCGATCATCCCCATATGATGTTAGGTGCTCATTCGGAGCAAGTTTGCTACGTTTCTTCGAAGTTGTCCAGAAACGTTTGTTCTTCGAAGTTTTTCAGAAACGTTTGTGTAGAGTCTAGAGGTTGCTGCCGTAAATTTCTCATCGAATTTCTGGCATGTTTGGCAGGGTGAGGGGTGACGAGATTTATTGAGATGATCAAACCCAGATTTCAGAACACCAGGGGCATGGGACTGGGAAGTTCGTGTTCACAGAACTCAACACGCTCAAAATGGTGGTTTTGCTTCAGATCCCAACATGAGCCATTTTCGAAAAACATTTTCTGGGCCAAGACAAGTACCCCCTGATGTCTTCAAGACGAATGGACAGCACTGAGGACATCCTGGTGGATGAAGTGGGTCAGCCTCAGAAGGAGCTTGTGTTGGGGATTTAGAGGGAAGATTTGGGATGAGATTCATCATGGTTAAGCCATAGTAGGGAAAGCTATAGTAGTGAAGTCATACCTACGATTTCATGTGCTAGAGCCAATAATCATGGGATATAGTGGGAGATTAATGGGAAAATATCGGGTGATATAGGATAAACGTGGGAGAAGGAGGAGAATCATGGATGATTATGGCATAGAACAACCCATTCCCAAGTTTGGGGTTTATGAATTTGGCTATACCCCTAGAAATGAGATGATGTCAAGTGGCCCCCAAATGGTTGGTGAATGGGATGGCTTGTTGTTGGGTTGCCACAGTATTTGGGAATCTTTTATGTCCCCTTAGGCAAATCGAAGTATATACAGTTTTAAAGATATATAAAGATAGAGATCATTGAGGATTTCAGATTGAGTATAAAATCAACCACACTATATGGTGGTATAATGGGCAACTAATGGGTGATATATGACTATATAGAAATGATAGGGAGTTTTATGGGTTTAACCATCAATCATGAGGGTTTAATGAGATACTTACGGCCAATTTATAGCACCGCCCACAAAGATAGAAAAGTTGGATGCCTAGAACATATGTGTAAAAGGTCATCGAAGTACCATCCGGGAAACACGAAAAAAATCGACATCTTTTGAGGGGTTACTATTTTTCGGAGGTACCATCTTTTTTTCAGAGAACTTTCCCGAAGGATGAAACCACCTCAAAGGTCAACATTTGGGGCGGCTCAAGCGGCCCAACTCAGCCGGGTTTCTGTGACCCAGCCAGGGTGCTGTTTGTGCATCAACTCATCCCCAAACATGGGTCAAGAACCGATGATATGATGATATGCTGGAGATTTTTTTCTAGGAAAAACCATGGATTATGGGATATGATTAGAGTATAGAGTATAGAGTAACCAACCATAGCCTTACTGGTGCTAAGCGTAGGGAATTTTCGGGAATGATTCCCCAGTAAGCACCAGTAATAGCGTAGAACAAACACACCTTGTGTTCGATAGTTCGACCCGATGAAAAACCCCCAACCAATGTTTTTTTGGGGAAAACCTGAGATTTTGGATGATTACCATCTGGTAAACTAACATAACTATTGAACATTGCCACTTTTAATGGGAAAATCCACTATAAATGGCCATTTTCAATAGCTATGTTAAATTACCAGAGGGTAAATCCCCATTTTTTGTCTCACGAAATCCCTATTGTTATATCCCATCAAAAGCCAATGGTTGCTCGTGAAATCCCATCATGTTTGCTGCTAAAATCCCCAGGTTGGTACAATAATGTGGGTAAAACCATGTCGTAAACCATCCCCCCAGTCATCACCATTCCAATAGGTGGTATGTTGACCATTCCCAGTCATGGGTGGTTTATGACATTATTTTACCCACATTACTATTAACCATAGTAATACGATCAATAATATATCACTAATTGTTATAGTAATCATTCCCATTGACTATAGATACTTTCCATTCCCAGTCACAAATGTACCATTTTTATGTGGTATAAACCATTAATAGATTGTGGATATCCCCTAGCAAAATCTATATATCTCCATTGTTGCTGGTTAAATCACCATTTTCCCACGGTTTTCCTATGGTTTTACTATTTATGACATTGTTTTATCCACAAAAAACGGCACGTTCTTCACTTCTTGCGTTCACCGCAACGCGCAGCGTGCCAGGAAGTGACGCGCACGGCGCGCGACGCAAGGTTGAAGCGGCAGGCCCGATGGAGCAGGTGATGCGGTGATGGTGATACAATCTATACAGATTGGGGAATCAAGTGTATGTCATATTTATAATGCGAATATTATACATATATATATATAATATAATATTAATTATAAATACATGTACAATACTAATAATTAGTATGGAATATAGTGGAATATAGACTCCGGGAATCATCCATGGCAATGGGAATCCCCAAACTGGAAGTTGAGTTGGGAAAATCATCGGTGGTTTACTGGGATTTCATGGGATTTCATTTACTGTGAACAAGAACGATGAAATTCTATGGTTTATGGTAGATACAACATGATATAACTATAGTTAATAGGGGTTATAATGGTTTATAAACCAACTTATACCCTCTGGTAATTTGTTACAGTTCGCTATTGAAAATGGCCATAGAAATAGTTGATTTTCCCATGAATAGCATGGTGATTTTCCAGTTATGTAACCGTTTGCCAGAGGGTAAGAGGACTGTTTATTTGGATCAACGCACTTGCTACAGTAACTGCTGAGTATCCGGGGTTAGTTTACATAACCCATTTATGAATGGGATAAGCCACGGAATGGGGACGAATTCGTGAAAACCAGGGTTATTTTTCCCAGTTTTCTTAGCCAAATCTACAGATTGGGGAATTGTCTATACTTTCTTGGCTATAAATATAGTCTGTGATCGTTGATTTTCCCAATGGGACATCCACCTTTGAGGGAGTGTTTTGTTTTTTTTTTTGGAGCCCCAGACTTGCAAATCCAAGTATAGGGACCCCCTGACAAGATAGAAACGTTGGAAACGTACCATCCTGGAACCACTTTTGGCATTTTTTTGGGGGGTTGGCATAGGTGATGTTACCAACAAAAAGATGATTTAAACAGCAAGAATGAGGGGTTTGACATCAAGTAGGGGATGTCATTGAGACATGGCAGTTGGTTGGCTATGAACTAGTATATAGATGTATATAGATGTATATATATAGTGGGTTGTGCCACCTGGTTTAAGAAGGATTGCAAACTCACCCATAGCAGGAATAGCTGCTCACCAACAGATGGAATCGGATACAGGTATTTTCATGGCCCACTTATACACAACAGACAAGAAGATCGACCCTGGAAACATGAGGATCTCCTTACGCATACATAATTGATGGTTGACATGTTTCTTGATCGTTATAGGCTAAGAGGCGTTTTTACGCTATTCACCAACAGTCAGACAAAGTAAACTTCAGATATGGGTATGGGTCAATACCTATAGATACATTTTTAGTGGGATGAACATCCATTTACCAGCTATTTTGGGGTTCACTAGGGGTACCAGGGTTTTGACCCATTCCCATATGAAGATGCACACCCGAACAATGATCCCGGGACAGTTTGACAGCTCGACCATGCCATGAGTTGGGGGTTACACTACTTTCCTCTACAGACGTGCTAGTCTCAGGGTCCATGGTCCATGTTATTTGGGATGGTATGAGGCTAAAGATTCAACAAAGGATTCTTAGAAGGTTGTAGGCACTGCTCACTTGGGGCCAGAGACACAAGAGAGACACAGCTACTCGCCGGTTTTTAAGATATGGATTCTATATAGATACTTCATCTCCCTAAGTTTGATGATGGACGATGTACACATCTCAATTTATTTACTGTATACATGAGCCAACTGTGACTCCCTATACATTATTTGGGGCAAGATTAGGGGCGACCTCTGAGTCGAAGCTGCACCATGGTCTGGTAATTTGAAGCTGTGGACAATTACCCCTTTGTAGTTGTTTTGCCTATTGAACATGTTCATTTTCAATGACTATGCTAGATTACCAGAGGGTATACGCTAGGGAAAATTGATAGCTCAAGATTTCTTTAGTTTTGGTATCTGAGATTAGCACTACATTCCAGGCTTTAAAGGATACTGGGAATGTCCTTGTTGCAGGGTGACGTCTTGGTGCTGAAACCCACGGGACTTTGCTGTTGAAATCATCACCTTTCAGGAGACCTTCAGTGTGCGCGCCTTTCGGGGCCAACAGAGGTGGGGTCAACTTCATGGCGATGAATGGAGGGAATATACCCTCTGGTGAACTAACAGTTTGCTATGGAAAATGGCTATAGAAATAGTGGTGAACATACAAAAAGCTATGGAAAATGGCCATAGAAATAGTGGATTTTCCCATGAATAGCATGGTGGATCTTTCCATTGCTATGTAAACGTTCACCAGAGGGTATATATATATATATAGGGTGTGCCCGATTTTCAGCCTATTCGGAAAGTGAACTATTTTAATATCCGTTGATGCTATGTGAATCTATGTGATATATGAATCCCAGCTAAATGAACGTTTTCTTGCGTTTGTTTTAAAAGGTGTATCTAAGATTTGCCATGTATACCGCGGTCAATGAACATGGCGGGGCTGAATTTTTCGATTCGGAGATCTTCTTGATGAATCCCCAGCAATTTTTCCATGGGGGTAAACTTCACATACTGGGATGGACATATATATACATATATAGAGTATATATATAGAGTATATATATATATAGTATATATATATACCCTCTGGTTATGACTAACATAGCCATGGAAAATCCCAACCATAAATGGAGGTTGATGTCGCTGGGAAAATCATCTATTTCTATGGGCCATCTATACCATGGCTATGTGAGTCATAACCAGATGGTATATATAATACATACCCTCTGGTAAACTAACATAATTATGATGGACAAGCACAATTTTAATGGGTAACTGACTTATAAATGAGTAGTTTTCAATAGCTATGTTAGAATCCCGGGAAGTATATCATTGGATCTTTATGTGACATCAAGTATGGGATTTCATCAATTTCGTGTAGAATTTGGTGTAAAGAGGCCTCAAGGTCTCAAACATGGATTGTTAAAATCCCGGACAATCCCCATGGACATGAACGGGGCTTACTAGGATAGCCAATGTCGCCCCCTGCCGCGAGAATTCGGGAGATTTATGCACGAAATATTAACGACCAACAAGCATGGGTCTGAAAATGGCTTGTGTGCCCCCCAAATGGCTCCGAAATTTTCATACTTTCCCACATCAGTACGGTATCAGGAAAAATTGGGATTTAAACTCTGTAAACTCACATCGATGTGGAAATTTTCACTGTTTGTAGATCATTTCCTGCACGGGAAAGCACTGGTTTCCACATCCCTTGGATCGGGATCTTGCGGGTGAAATTGTGTTTAGGATCCCCATCAATTAGCCAGTTGCAAAAAGGGACATAGCCCAAGCAATATATGGGCTAACCATTTACTATGATTTAATGGTGATATTTCATGGGATTTAGTTTTGATTTAATAGACTTGAATGGGGATTTAATGGAGATATACCCGAAATGGTAAACTAACAGAACGCACTGGAAAATAAACATCTTTTAGTTCGGTAAATCAACTACAGTATAAAGGTGCCATTTACTAAGTGGGATGCAACCCCCAGGAGGAAGGCACCATTTTCTCAGCTGACCAGGCTGAGATTTACATGGGGCGTGGGGCAGGCGCCGTGAGCCGCGACGTGGGCATCGTGTAGCAACTAGCCACTGGTAGTCGACCTGATAGCCATGGGACATTTGTTGTGTTTCAGAAGTGGATCATCTACAAATCGGCAATTTTCCATGGCTTTGGCAAATCACCAGAGGAATACCCTCTGGTAAACTAATATAACTATGGAAAATCACAATTTTTAATGGGAAAACTCACTATACATGGCCATTTTCAATAGCTATGTTAAATTACCAGAGGAATATTTGAAAGAATATGTTTTTCAAAAGTTGACCATCCAGATTTTACCGTTGCAAGTCAATGGTTGAATCATCTTGTTCCCTCTCCCGAAGATTCAAGACGCTGCAGAAAGCATGGTAAAAATAGGGGATTACAGTAGAAAACATATTTGGGACCATGCAATGGGGATGTTTAATATTAGAATGGGATTTATGCACAGAATAATCCATTTCAGTGGTAGTTCTAGCACACGCAACCCTACCCAGCTATTTGGTACTTAGAAAGCAGCAGAGCTATGGTTGTATCCATATTCCCAAGAGAAATTGGGGACTTACTAAGAGTTTTCTAATTGAGTTTCCCAACCATGTGCTAGGGGAAAACAACTAGATGGTTACTTTAGGTCAACTTCATCTCTTCTAAATGGGAATATATGAAACCATCTCTCCAATGAACTCTAGACCCTGCAAATTTCTCGGGGGTTGGAAGATTTCCCCTTGAGGATCAAATCTCAGGATCAAGCTCTGAATTTTGCTGGCTTTCATGGTCATCTATCCATGATATTCCCATCATATTCCCATCATATTCCCAGTACCCGGCCTGGTAAACGTTTACATAACGAACTGGAAAATCACCATGCTATTAATGGGTAAATCCAATATAAAGGTGCCATTTTCAATATCTATGTTAAATTACCGGAGGAATAGCAAACTGTTGGTTTACCAGAGGGTATACCCCCTATCCCAATCCGCCAGGAATCGAACATTTTCTACGAGATGTGGTTCTTGCCAGACCTGAATCCCATGGCCGTGTTGCAACCGCTGCCTGCAGATGTGCCCTTGCCCAAGGCGCGCGGGCGCGTTTCCAGTGGTCCAAGGTGTCACTTTTTTGGGAAGGCAATCCATCACCAAAAAGGTTACCCTCTGGTAAACTAACAGTTTGCTATGGAACATCACCATTTATAATATGTAAATCAACTGTAAATCAACTATTTCTATGATCATTTTCAATAGCTATGTAACAGTCATTACCAGAGGGTAAGAAAGTGGATTCACCAGGATTTTCGGATTGGAGTGTCCTTTGGAGTGCATCTTCACACTATAAACATAACATAAGATGACCATTTGGGTTTCCCCGAAACATGACAGATTTCGGACTGGGTCCTTGCCCCACTTGCCAGTCCTTGGCAGGTGATTCCTAGTGCACACCCCGAAATAGCCATGGTTGTTTCACTACTTGGGCTTTTTTTGTGGCTACTTGGAAGATCATCCCATTTTTTCAGTGGCTAAACACCTAGGAACTGGGCTTTCCTTTAACCAGCCAGCTGGTTCAATGGCTTCGAAGCCACGAAAAAAGGGGGACGAGTTGTCGTGAAAACCAGGCTGTTCCACAACACCCCTCGATTCGTGGGATCCGCCGGGATCCACCATGGCTTCTAAAACAGCTTGGAACTGGGGTGGAGTGGATGGAGATTTTTTGTAAAAAAAAACCATGGATTGAACGCCAGGAATTTTTATTCAATATCGACTATTTAATACTGGATTATAATAGAGTATGTAGTGGACTGTATTGTGACTCACTATTCATCACTGACGGGATAATATCATGGGATTATTGATCATCCACTATGATTCTCATTTATCAAGGCTCTCCATGATGTTTCACTAACACAAACATCATCACTGATTTATCAATTCTCCACTCACCAGACTCACCAGGTCCAAACAAATCATTCCGAATTTACGACGACCAGTCGATCAGGCTTTGGGTCAAAGTTTCGACGAGAAGGAGGAACAATGGCCCGCAGTCCCAGCGGTCGTCCCAGGTGAAGATGGGAACGATACGTTTTTGGCGATACGTTTTTGGCTGCTTCATTGGATTGATTTAAGGGAAAATTTACAGGAAACCATGGTTTTTACCACCAAATATAGGGCTTTCCTGTAATTTTTCCCATAATCCAATTCTATGACTGCTGAATCTGCTGAATTTTCATGTGCCAATATAAGTTAACTGATATCGGATAGATATATTGATTCAATGAAAAATCATATTTAATATAATCATATATATATATTATTGAATATGGGAGATTGAGTCAACCAATCTTCTTGAATATTACCCTCTGGTAATTTGTTACATAGCTATTGAACATGACCCAGTCGAAATAGTGGATTTTCCCATTCAACATGGTGATTTCCATAGTTTTTTGTATGTTTACCAGAGGGTAAGAATAAAACATGCATGGAGATTGACCTTCGAGTAAGTCAAACCATAAATGGTGGAAGGTGTGGCTCCGATTGGCCAAAAAGCGAAGTGTCGGGTTGATTTTTTTGGGGTGACACATGGTGACACTAAACCAACTTCGCCTCTGGTTATTTAACCTAGCCATGGGAAATAGCCCATAGAAATAGATGGTTTACCTATTAATAGCATGGTGGATCTTTCCATGGCGAACTGTTAGTCATAAGCAGATGGTAGCTATCGTTTGGGAGCCTCGTAGTAGAAGAGCGCTGGGTTGTGCCGGGGCTTTCATGGCCATGGCAATCCCAGTGATAAATCCAAGTCAACTGATTGTCGTATCGCCAAATCCAATCCATTCCAATAGTGATCACTTAAACTGGTTCTATAATCTTTTTTCGGGGATACTATAAAGTTACTATAACCAGTTTTATTAGTGTATATATATATATATGAACTTAATCTTTTTTCGGGGTTACTATAAGTCATGACACAAATAACAATTCGACGATATGACGTTCTGATTCTGCAGCATTGATCCTGTGAAAAGTGGCAAACATCCCCGAAAGATTGACTGACTTTTCATTGGTACACCGCCCTGTCACCTTGAAACATGTTCACAATGAGCCAATGATCGGAACGGGGGGCAACCATGTTTTCGGAGCATCTTCGGTTGTACAAATATCCGCATGAACAAATCATCCTGTGGATGGTGGGCTCAATCATTTTCTGACTCTACACGCCATACCGGGGATACCCTCCGGTAAACTAACAGTTTGGTATTGAAAATGGCCATTGAAATAGTGGATTTATCCATGTATAGCATGGTGATTTTCCAGTTCGTTTTTTGTATGTTTACCAGGCCGGGTACCCTAAATCATCGAAATTTCAACAGATTTTCGTATTGAAACCGTGGTGACGACTGGTGGGGATCCCAGTGAGGAATCAGCTGGCGGACGATCTCAATGGTATCGAGGAGGTGGAGACACTTTTATCAGCTGCTAAATTCCCGGTGGTTGATTTGACTAAAAAAGCGGTGGGTTAACCATCATTTACATAGCTACTAAAATAGTTGATGGCTATTCATGAATATTCATTCATGTTTGACATATTAATCACTATATGAGTCATCTATGGGTGATATAGTATCTCAGATATATTCATTTACCCTCTGGTAATTTAACATAGCTATTGAAAATGGTCATTTATAGTTGATTTATTCATTGAACATGATGATTGTCCATAGCAAACTGTTAAATTACCGGAGGGTATATGGATTTCAAACAACCAAAAATGGGATATATGGAGATATAATTGATCATTGGTGATTAGTTGATGCTTAGTTCGGGGATTATACCAACCAATATATTGGGAGTTATCAGAATCCATTGTGGTAATTCCTATGAAATTAGCCAGGATGAAGGGCCGAGAGAGGGTTTTAAACACTACTCAAGTGTTTGAAATGATGTCATTGATCGATCTGGTTTTCAACCTCAGGATTCTTTGAATTGATTTGATTGATGCCCAACTCTTCAACTCAGATGGGACACTTTTCAGCTTTTCAATCTCAGGATGGTTCAAACAAAACATAACAATCTGGTTGCCATCCAACTCTTGTTTGTGATCTGACTACATATGGCTGTGATGCTGTTATTATATGGTGGGAATGCGATTTTTCTCGTTCTCATTCCCAGCATCACTAAGTAGTGGTTTTAGGCCTTCAACTCTCCACCGCTTCTCCACCGCCAGTCAATGGAGAAGATCGAAATCGAAGATTTGCGAAAGAATGGGCGGCAGTGCTTTGTCCAAGATGGTCATGGTCGATCTGACATGTGGAACTGGTGAAACTACTTGGGGCCCTGGGGGTGCAGTTGACCTTCAAGGTTATTCATGGCGATATCCATGGTAATCTGGTTGGTGGTGCTTTGGAACCATGGAATTTTATGACTTTCCATTCAGTTGGGAATGGAATAATCATCCCAATTGACGAAGTCCAGTATTTTTCAGAGGGGTAGGCTCAACCACCAACCAGTGGTGATAATAGAGTTATACTATATTTTGATAACGATATTACTATATATAATTGGATTATCACAATCATATTGTGATTTTGAGAGTTACATCATGTGGGGTTATATTATCATGTAGAGTTACATCATGGATAATGAGAATGTATCCATTTATAAGTGGGATAAACCATATATATATATATGTATATATATATATATGTATATATGTATATATATATGTATATATATATGTATATATATATATATGTATATCTATATGTATATATATATAAGTAAGCCTCATAATCATATTGGATAGATAGTGGATTTTTTCTCATAAGCCCCATAACTTGGGATAACCCCTAGCGATCAATGGCCATATTTCTTTCGACGAATTAGTGGAACTGGACTCTCTCACGTGACCAAGCAAGATGATTTGCCCAGATCAAATCTAGTACAAGAGGGTATATCCCCATGAATTCTTGGTTACTTCATGGTTATGGTTGATCTAGATTCATGGTTGAGAAAATCTGTGAATTCTAGAGTGAATACCTTCACCTATAGGACCTAAAATGAATCGGAAAAAGCGTTCATCAAAATAAATATATCCATTCTATCTATTTTACAACTAGTGACATTTTGATTTTTGAACAAAGGCAATAAAACCCTATCCTATAGGTCCAAGATCCATGGGCCCGTGGACAGATCCAGAATGTGGATCCAGAACGGGCAAGAATTGGGTTTCTTTTAAGGACATCGACAACCATCAACCTTTAAAACCAATCGTACCAAGGTTTATTTCAATTTTCAATATATAATAATATATATAATATATATATATATAATAATATATATATATATAATTATATATATATAATTATATATATATATGATAATATATATATATATGATAATATATATATATGATAATATATATATATATGATAATATATATATGATAATATATATATATGATAATATATATATATGATAATATATATATATATATGATAATATATATATGATAATATATATATATGATAATATATATATATATGGTAATATATATATATGATATATATATATATATGTATGATAACATATATATATATGATAATATGTATATATATATATGATAATATATATGAATATATATATATATATATTTGATAATATATATATATATGATAATATTTAAAAACATAATATATATATAATTGATATATATATACATATACATACATATAATATAATATACATACCTTACCATATATATACATTATATGTAATATATATGTATATGCCTGCCGACCGAAAACCGTGCCCGTAAAACGCACGTTTTTGAATATCGCGATTGTGGGGTGGGGTGGGCGGGGGCATGTTAACGTTCCTTGTACTTCGTACATGAAATATTGCTACGCTGCTGAGATCTCCGGGATCGTTTACTACGTAAATGTTGCTACGCTGCCTGCTGGGGGTTTGGTGGGGTGGGGGCGTGTTAACGTTCTATGTACTTCGTACATGAAATAGGCCGTGCTGCTGAGATCTCTGGGATCCTTTACTATACGTTACATGTTGCTACGCTGCTGGGCGGGGTGGGTGGGGTGGGCGGGGGCATGTTAACGTTCCTTGTACTTCGTACATGAAATATTGCTACGCTGCTGAGATCTCCGGGATCGTTTACTACGTTACTACGTTACATGTTGCTACGCTGCTGAAAGTGGAATCTGATGAAAAAGTCAATTCCCAGCAACTTGAGTGCCAAAAGTGACCTCTTGATGGTGTATGCTAGAGCTTGGCAATTGGAGATGCATTCACAAGAATGCTGACTGCCAGCTGATAACGGTGCATGCGTTGCAGCGATGACGCTGAAAAGCCAAAAAACGCGCCCCAAGTTTTTCCAGGATTTCCAATCATCAAATCAGCACGGCACTGTGGTAAAATCACCATTTGTTAAAAAAAACGTGCGTTTTATGGGCACGGTTTCCGGTCCGGCGGGATGTATATGTATATATATATATATGTATGTGTATGTGTATGTGTATGTGTATATGTATATACATCTATATAAGTTTCAGGATCTTTTTTCATCAACCTACATAACCTTAATACAAGGTTTATTGCGTGTCCTTGTATCCCCACTTAAAGTGACAGCTTGGGAGGTGACGACCTTGCTTAAAACCATGCGAGGGAACGCAAAATCGACTGGAGAATGGTGGTTTCCCACTTTCTAGTTAGTTTGCTAGTCAGTTAGCTAGTCAGCTACTGTAGTTCGTTAGGTGATTGGTTAGTTAGGTAGTTAGGTAGTTAGGTAGTTGGGTAGATGGCTGGCTAGTGAGTGAGTGAGCGAGTTAGTTCGTTCGTTTGTTCGTCAGGCACGCTAGTTAGTTCGTTACTTAGTTCACTATTTATTTATTTAAGTTAGTTAGTAAGTGAGTCAGTTTGTTATTTATTTAGTTATATAGTTAGTTAATCAGTCAGTTATTCATTCATTCACTTAGTTGGTTAGTCAGTTCTTCATTTCCTTACTTTGGTTAGTTAGTTACTTAGTTAATCAGGTAGTTACTTATTTATTTGGTTGGTTGGTTAGTCAGTTCTTCATTTCCTCACTTTGCCGGTCACCTCCCAATTTCTCTCTCGCCCCCTTTCGGTTGGTTTTTCAGGTTCCCCTGCAAAGCCTTGAGCATTTGGCCGGTGCAGTCGGCTCAGGCACTGCGTAGGGATTTCGTATGATGATTTACTATGATTTCATGGGAATCTGATGGGGATTTACTGGATTTTTTTTTGAGACCTAAGATTGTTTCACCGATGGATAAGAATGGATAAACATGGATGATTTCAAGGGATTTCATATGATTTGATGCGAGATACAACTGCCTCAATGACCCTCATTTCAATGGATTGGTTTAAGGGAAAATTTACACGGAAACCCCATATTTAATGGGAAAATCTATGGTTTCCTGTAGATTTTCCCTTAAACCAATCCATTGATCATAGCCGGCCAGGAACATTTTTTGCCGCGCTTCTGCGATGTGCTGCGACCTCCCCATGGCATTGAGTCGGCGACGGCCATCTGTCACTATGTGGGCTGCTTCCCCTACATGGAAGCTCACCTAGAAATTGGTAGATTTACAAAGATGGAAAATCTATGGTTTATGGTAGATACAACATGATATAACTATAGTTAATAGGGGTTATAATGGTTTATAAACCAACACACATACCCTCTGGTAATGACTAACATAGCTATTGAAGCCATGACCCAGTCGAAATAGTGGATTTTACCAACTGAAAATGGTGGATCTTTCCAGTTCGTTTTTTGTAAACGTTTACCAGGCCGGGTAAATCATGGGGGATTAAATCATCGAAACATGGGATCCAACCAAGAAAAAAACGGTGTTTTTTGAGTGATTTGAGTGATTTTTTTGCAACAAAAACGGAGATTTTTGTTCAGCAAAAATCCATGATTTGAGGAGCAAACATGGGCATTTTTATCCAACGAAGATGGTGATTTCAGACATTGAAGCAACACAGCGGTGGTTGCAGCAAGCGAAGTCAGGATTCAACCAACAAAAGTCGACTAAGCAACAGAAGTCTGGGCCTTGAGAAACAAGAAATGCTGTTTTCACCGATAGTCACCCGATAGTCATGGGGATTAAGCTTGAGTTTTTTTTTCCGGATGAAACATGTGGATGTCAGCATCCAAAAAGACATTTTGTACAGAAATTGAGGTTGAACCAGACAAAAATAGATGATAGGTTTATCGGATTACCCTGTGGTAATTTAACATAGCGAACTGGAAAATCACCATCTATAGGGTAAATCACCGAACTAAATGGGCCATGTTCAATAGCTATGCTAAATTACCAGAGGGTATCCGACAAAGATTGGGATTGAATTCACATGTCGATGGGGGGATAGGTAACAAGTCTAGAGATTCAAATGATTCAAGCGATACAGAGTTTGGACCGACACAAAATCTGTGAATCTGCGATGAGGAAAACGGACCCTCTCGCACATGGGGAGAGGATTGATCTCAAAAAACTGGGGCATGAAAGGCGCTTTTGGGTCCTGTCTCCTTTGTGACATGAAATCCCCCAGAGTCGCGGAGTTCTCCAAGGAGGGCGATCTACGGATTTCTTTTTCGTGGCGATTTTCATAAGAACTTCCACCGCAATATGGATGTGGGTCAAAATGGAAGACCTAGGGGACCACAGATGGAAATGTCTAGTTTAGTATTAACCATCCAATTATTGGGGTACCTAATTTTGACCCATACCCATATATTAAATACCACCCAAAGGAAGCCCTGGTTTGGTGATATACTATGATATATTCATGACTTGGGGGGGCACCACTCCCTCGATCAAGGAAAACAAGTCCGAGGACACGGAACCTTGGTATCGAGGGAGTGGGGGTTTGGGGGTTGTGAAATCCTCCAGTTGGGAACTATGGTCTGGGATTCCTACAATGTGGGGCCCCCAAACGATAGCTAAGTTGGTGCCAATAACTCCAATAACTATGGTTTATGGATACCCGTTGAAATTTTTGTTACTAAATCTGAGGCCTCAGGGCCGTTACAGAATGGTTTTTGGCTACCATTTTGTGCAAAATTTTGACCCTGGGTTCTGCCATCTTGTAAGTGGACCCCCCCCTGGTACCGGAATTCCGCATTGGAAGTGCGAGTTTGTTACCCTCCAGTCCCGACCATTCTGTCGGAGTCTGGAGGGCTAATCAATAACCACTACAAATTGGATGGATTCAAAGCGTAAATGGATAATACTCAACTATAGCCCCTACAAACTGGATGGAATCAAAAAATCACAGAATAATTTTCATAGCCTTGGGTGCAGGGCTTGGGAGAGGCCTTGAAAAGTCTGATGCGTCTGAGTGGTCATGAATGCTCGAGATGAGTCACATCTATTTTAAAAAAATATATGATATATATATATATATTATTATTATATATATATATATATATTATAATATATATATATATTATAATATATATATATTATAATATATATATACATATATATATATATATATCGATATATTTATAATGTTTAGCTTGGCCACTCAGACAGCGTCACGCCAAAACAGACGGATGAACGCAAAAGAACGGAAAAAATGAACCGCGACTCGGGTTGGCCGGGCTATTGCAGGTTACTTCCCAGGGATCCTAGGATAGTGCGAGTATAGCCACCCCCAGTCCCCACCATTCTGTAAAGGGCAAATCGAGCCAACGGATGCGAGCGGATGCGAGTCGAGCAAAGTCGGTGACTCATTTTGTAACTAGGGGTCAGCTTGGACTGCCATTTTGTAACAAAAACCTTCCTCGGTGAACGTTGGGTTCTGCCAACTTGTAACAAGGGCACCTTGGGGACGCCGTTCTGTAGCTACAAAATGGGGCTCCCAACCCCTCGGGTCCAATCTGAACGGGGATGTTTATGGTACTTATAACTATAGTTAATGGGGTTTATAAATCAACTTATAACTGGGGGTCCCCACATTGTACGAAACACTGGCATCAGAATGGGAAGAAGAAAAAGGTGTGTTTACCATCAACTGGGGAAGTGTTTACCATCCACAGTAGACTGCATGAAGCCGTACGTATCCAAATGACAAAGTAATTGTTCTAACACTTGACGTCTATGCTTAAACATCCAGAGTTGATAGTAAAGGTTCCCATTTTACATTGAATCCCTTTGTTTCAACAAACACCTGTTTGGTGGTTTGGAACATTTTTTATTTTTCCATATATTGGGAATGTCATCATCCCAACTGACGAAGTCCATCATTTTTCAGAGGGGTAGATATACCACCAACCAGGCACAATCTTGTTTCATAAACATCCAGAATTGTTACCCTCTGGTAAACGTTTACGTAACGAACTGGAAAATCACCATGCTATTTCAATAGCTATAAACTAGTGGAAATTCTTAGATATGCCCTCTGGTAAACATACAAAAAAAACTATGGAACATGCTATTAATGGGTAAATCCACTATTTCGACTGGGCCATGGCTTCCAGTCCGCTTTCTGTTCGTTTACCAGGCCGGGTATGGTCGTTCAAACGCCAAGCCTCGAACTCCGAATCATGTCGAAGGGGCAGTGGTTTGTTGTGGTTTCCAAATGTTTCCACCACTACGGTGAGGGCCCAGGCAGTCGATTTATCGCGATTTATCAAAGTTGGTGCACTTGAAACCGATCGATTTTTGGGTATAACACGGTATAACTACTGTGGAGCCAGCGAAATTTGAAATCTGGGCCATCACACCAGTTGTTTCAACGGTGGGTTTACCACATTTTTCCATTGCTGGTGCGGGATTTCGCGTTGCCACCGTAAAAGTGAATGGCGGGTGAACGTGAGGCAACGTGTGAAGTTTTCATCACTTGTCTCACCGTATGTAGGAGATGACTATATATGGGGATAGAATCACGAAAAAATCAAGTGAATGAGAATCCATAGTTATTTTGTCCCAATTAGTTAATGTTTATGTTTAATGTTTCATGTTTTTTTGTCAATGAATGATAACTAGTTTCATGGCTATAGGAGATGGTTAAACAGCGAATTTTCTGAAAGCTATGAAAGCACTGGACTTTTCTCATTGATAGCTGGCAGGCCACAACGCTATACAATGCTTGTGAACAGGTTTCGTTTTTAGTTATACAAAATAAATGTGATACAAATTCATTGTATACCTTTTTCAGATATTTCAATTCACACATATTCACAATTTTTTAGGTTCATTAAAACGAATATATCTATTTTAGGTATACACTATCAGCTCTAAACCCTTTGTTGGAGACCGTTGGATTCTAGCACTTCAAGGTGAAGCTGGGTCAAGTCGTCCCATTTTTTTTCACAGCCCGAATTCTTTGTTGGCCAAGTCTTCCCCAGATTTTTCCGATCTACATGAAATGGGTAAATCCCAATTCATCCATGGAAATCAGAACGCCAGCATTTTCCTGATCATGTCATGTTCGTATGGCGGCCATGGGAAATTGGCCATGGGAAATTCATGGTGATTTTTCAGGGTAAATGAAAATGGTGATTTGGGGAGAATTAATGGGATTCTGGTTGGTGGTTTCAAAGATTTGGATGATTTTTCAGATGTCATATATGATTATTAATCATATTAATGATATAATATTATTATCATATATTGCCATTCAATGTCACTTATAACATTATTTTCCATTTCATATATGGGATATATAACCCTTCCCATTGACGAACTCCATCATTTTTCAGAGGGGTAGGTATACCACCAACCATATATATATATATTCCCATTGACGAACTCCATCATTTTTCAGAGGGGTAGGTATACCACCAACCGTATATATATATATATATATTCCCATTGACGAACTCCATCATTTTTCAAGACCGTTGAAACCACCAACCAGGATTTAATAAATACATATAAACTGGTTAAACCACCATTTATATATAATTTCATATAGTTTATATTTCTATGGGTGGTATAAACTATATATATATAAACTGGTGATTTATAGTTTACCCTCTGGTAATTTAACATAGCTATTGAAAATGGCCATAGAAATAGTGGATTTTCCCATTAATAGCATGGTGATTTTCCATAGCTTTTTGTATGTTTACCAGAGGGTATACCAGCCATCGACATCCGAGTCCTTCAGGCTTTCGTTTGATCCAAAAATTTTCTCGCCGAGGTCAGTACCCCCAACTTCTTCTGTGCCTTGCGCAAGGGCCAGGTGCAGCCCGGCTTTGAGGGCTGGTGACCCATCGGTTGCGCAGTCTGCACCACCGAAAGGATGGTTGAAACTTAGATGGTAGGCATCCCATGATTTTTTTTGGGGTTTCAAGTGTTGAAACCCTAGAAATAATGGGATGCTTACCATCTGGCAAGCCTAGATGTTCTTTTCCCATTGGTTGGCGGTTGGTTGATGAAAATAGAGGGGTTTGAAGAAACCCCTTTAACAACAGGTAAATGATGATAGATGGTATACCAAACCGGCCCCTCTATTTTTTACCAAAAGGACATTATTGGTTGAAACCCTAGAAATAATGGGATGCCTACCATCTATCAACTGCTGCATAAATAACAAAGGTTGACCCATCATAATTAACTCGGAATCTAAGGTCACATACCATGACCCTGATCAACCTGTTTTACTTGCAATCTTTTGCTATCAGTGATAAAATGAGTCCATTCACCAGCTAAACATTCGATTTTTTGCCAGGTATCTAAGATTCACCATGTCACGGGGATATAATTAATGCACAATTAATTGAACATGTTGGGAGGATTATAACCAACCATCATAGGGATATAATGGTCTGTACTTGGGGGTGCAGGACCCAGGAATTGTTAGGAAGTGGGTAACAACCATATGAAATATCCCAGCTAGATCAATTTATATGATGTTGTAAGTGGGTTGTAAACCACTTACAATTCCTAGGATGCACATCCAGCTACAAAGAGCATCAGGATTGTCATCACTAGCTATCATTTCATTGTTGTCAGACATTATCAGTCTGATATGTCCAGTGAGGTATATGTATCTCAATATTTGCAATATTTACTGTGTGCCTTCCTGTTTAGCATCTGATGGGTTTTCCGTTTTCTTCCATTGTCTCTAGACATGGGCTGCTTTGGACGTCGGAACGGTTTCACAGACGTCATGCTTTCTATCCAATTCGCCCAGCCTTTTTTTTGGCGATCCCAGTTAACTGATTCGTTTCTACAGTATTTATAGGTGTATTACGAATATACCCTCTGGTAAACGAACATAACTATGGAACATCACCATTTTTATTGGGTCAATCCACTATAAATGGCCATTTTCAATAGCTATGTTAATTTACCAGAGGGTAGACGTAGTTACAACTGTAGGTGTGTACACATTAAGATATCTTTTGTATGTTCATTATAGGTAACACAGTAGCATTGTCACCAGAATCCATTCCTACCAAGTCATATGTGTGAAGAGATCCTCAACTTCGCCAGATTTTGGAGCATGCCCTGCTACATTGCAGCCTCTTATTGGGCCTCTCCTTCAAGGCTGTGGAGCGTTCCTACTGGTGGAATGGACCGTTTCGCGGTTTCGTTAGAGAGTCATGTCACATGTCACTCTCCAGAGGGTACCCTCTGGTAAATTAACAGTTTGCTATTGAAAATGGCCCAGTCGAAATAGTGGATATATATATATACCCATTAAAAATGGTCGTTTTCCATCGTTTTTTGTAGTTTACATGTCACTCATCCAGGGTTGACCCTGTCTGGGCCCCTGGGCCCCTGGGGCCGGCGAAAAAACACCCAGTGAAGCACTGGGGTGAAACCCCGAGCAGTTGTAATCAACTGCCATGGCAACTTTTTTTAGTTTACATTGACCACTGGCCATTGTAACATGGATGATGTTTGTAAGTCACTGAGACATACTGAGACCTTCTTGGTGAAATCCCTGTGTTTCTTGATTACCCTCTGGTAAACATACAAAAAGCTATTGAAAATGGCAATTTATAGTGGATTTTCCCATTAAAAATGGTGATTTTCCATAGTTTTTTGTATGTTTACCAGAGGGTAAGACCAAGATTGTCCATTTGCTTACCCTTTGGTAATTTTACGTAGCTATGGAAAATCACCATTTTTAAATAGGTAACTCATATTAAGTCAGGTTTATCATCTATCAATGGGCCATGGCTTCCATAGCTAATTTAGATGGGATCATCAGCTAGCCTTGGGGGTAGCCCATTGATAAACCCCTTTGAACCCCTTGTGTGGTTGGTGATATGGATGTGTTTGAACATAGGGTATACCACCCAAATGGCTAATGATAAACATATATGTAAACCAGAAAACATGTTGGGTACACAACTAAAGACAAAGCCACAAGGTCAGAACCCCCACTTATGTAAGTTGGTTTATAGTATATTCCCCTATCTTCTGATAAACTAACATAGCTATGGACAATCAGAATGTTTAGTAGGAAAAGTCAACAACGTCATTTTCAATAGTTGGAGGTTTCCTGAAATAGGGGTACCCCTAAATCATCCATTTTTATAGGAGTTTCCATGAAATAAACCATCCATTTGGGGGTACCCCCATGACTTTGGAAACCACCAGTTATGTAACAAATTACCAGAGGACAACCCAAGAGTTCACCAAGTGATCGCTTGGGAACCTGACTGCAGCGTAACTCCTTTTTCAGGCCTACGTGTGTTGTGGCACCAATCTGAGGGGCGACCCGCATTCCTGGGCTCTTGGGCTCAGCGAAGACGGAGCAGGAACAGATTTTCATGATCTTTTTTCCAAAGATTTGGGAAAACATGGGTGAAAAAATGTGGCTTCACCTACCAAATATCTCCAAATATTACGTATTATTCCAGGAAAACCATGGGTAAACTTCAATGGGGGAATCTATAGATTAATCTCAACATCTTCCAAGGAAGAAAAATACGATGATCTCTTCGAGGGGGTTTAGCCACGGACACGTGGGGTTCACCAACAAAATGTGGGGAGAAGTATCAATCATGGGGGTTACCAGCATGCTTGCGACCACATGTGCCCGGGGCCAAAATCTGGTGCCCCCTAGCTATATACGCATATATATATATACACACATACATATCTATCATACCATAAAAAACCATAAAATCCCTGAAATCAGCATCTTTGAAGCTTGAATTCCTTTGAAGTCACCATTTTTGCTGCTTCAACTCGGTATCTTCCTGGCACTTGAGGTTGCTGTCTTTGAAGAGGACCGGCGGCCTCGTGTGAGACCAAATATCAATGGGAATTTCAGGACCCCGAAAATGGAGGTACTTTGAACCATTGTTAACCATATTTATGGCCATATTTTGTTATTTCTGTACACAGTCCTGAAATTTAGGCCCTATACAGTATATGGTAGGTACCTCGAATTTAGGTCCTTGAAATGGCAATTTAAAATTAGTGAATATTTATAATTTGTCCAGATTAAGATAAACCAACTCTGTGCTGATTCATTAAGCACAATTCCTAGCCTTTTTGTAGCAAGACTCGCATCTTTTGCTAGTTCAACCCAACTTTTTGCTGGTAGAACCCCCATGTTGGTGGTGATTTTCAGCAACTAAATCTCAGTTCCGGCCTGGTTAAGGCCACACTTTTGGTTTTGACATTGCTTGGTTACTTGGATGTGCATCCCAAGAAGTGATGGTGGTTTATGAACCACACATAACTGGTGATATTCGGCTAATCCAACTGGGGTATTTCATATGGTTATTACCCACTTCCTTACAATTCCTGGGTCATGCACCCCCAAGTATAGACCATTATATCCCTACTGTGGATGGAAGAAATCCTGCACCTGTTGGTAGATGGCTTATCCCATTATAATCCCATTACTTATAATGTTTCATAGTTACCAATAGTTACCAATAGTTACCAACTGGTGCAGGATTTCTTCCATCCACAGTATGATGGCTTCTTATAATCCTACCCCCATTTCTATCTATCTATCTATCTATCTATCTATCTACAATATATATATATATACATATACATATACAAATATACGTATATATATATATATATATATATACACCCTCTGGTCAACAAACATAGCTATTGAACATTGCCATTTATAGTTGATTTACCCATTAAAGATGGTAATTTTCCAGTTCGTTTTTTGTATGTTTACCAGAGGTAAATTGTCCATCTGGACCCCCAAGTATAAGCAGGATACAGCCGCATACAAGCTGTTGCCCCACACAAGTTGGTTACTTAAGCAAGTGAACTGTCGTCAACTATCATCAATCAGCTCTAAATTCCCTCTGGTTTTTTTAACATAGACCCTGAAAATAGCCTAGTTTTAATGGAAACTAATCTTCCAAACCCGATGACTGCCAGGGTCTATGTTAATTTACCAGAGGGTACCATGAAATATCAATTTTTCTTGGTTAAATCACTACTTTCCCCATGGGTTTTTGCCGAGTTCCCCATGCCTGGCCTTGCTTTTCGAGGACGGCACCGTGCGCTTCTGGGAGCCGTTTTTGGGTTCGGGAACGCTGCAGCTGCGCCGACGCTTCGCGCATCCGCAGTTTCTGCTCCCGGGGAAGCGCCTCGACGTTACCGTGGTGGACCTCCCGGTGGGAAAGGAAAGATATCCTGGTTGATTGGATATAAGGGAGATCCCATCATATTTTTTGGAGAATCCATGGTTATATATATATAATATATATATATATCCCTTATTTCATATCCAATCAACCAGGTTTTCGTGGTTGTATCCCTTATTTCATGGTTATAGGTGGGGGGTTTAACCATGAAAAATGGAGATATAACAAAATATAACTGAAAGTCTTTGGGGCTTAACGAAGAGAAGTGATTTGATCCGAGCAACATACGTGGATTTTGCGAGCTAAGTTGATTTATAACTCGGGTCACAAGTTGATTCATTTTTTTAGCTAATGACCATTGTTAGTTAAACCATATTGATCCATTAACAACCCGATTGTTAGGTTAAAAACATTTTTTTTTAACAAACCCCAGATATAGTTAATGGGGGTTGTAAACAACTTTATATCTGGGAGGCACCACTTAGCGGGATAGGATCCGATGAATAGACAAGAACAATTTGGGGAGTTTACTAAACGAAGCACAGCTTTGACCGTTTTCGGGATTATCATTGGTGATTATTATGGTGATATCATAACTAATTTGGTGATATCATAACCAATGAATTATTATTATCAATATGATTCTTATGAATCATTGGTGATTTGCGACAAAATGGAGATATCAAACCAATCATTAAAAAAAATCACCAACAACATGTGTAGGTATCAAACCATTCATAATGATAGGGGTATAACTCATGGATACTATTGGTTTGTCCAAAAATTGGGGATGAATCCACGCAAAATCGGGGGCGAACAAAAAACAAGTCATGAGATAAGTGAGAATGATGGGATCTAGTTGATGCATTTTGATGCGATATATCTAGATCTCTATATATACATATATATATATATGTATCTATATCCTCTGGTAAACAAACAGTTTGCTATTGAACATGGCCCAGTCGAAATAGTTGATTTACCCTCCGGTAAACTAACACAACTATGGAAAATCACCATTTTTAATGGGAAAGCTCACTATAAATGGTCATTTTCAATAGCTATGTTAAATTACCAGAGGGTACCTATTAATAGCATGGTGGATCTTTCCTGTTCGTTTTTTGTATGGTCCAAACATGGGGGATGATCCCAAAGGATTTGCTGAAAAAAATATCCTTGGACCTGGGGATCATGGTCGGGCTATTTCCCGATAGCCATTATATTAACCCTTTATAATATTTTATAATGAATGGGTAGGTATAAATGGGATGACTTATTTAATGGATATATATAATGGGTATAGCTATGAAATGTCGGATTATATATTCATACTGTTTCATGATATACCCAGCTTTTTACCCTTAAAACAGTTGGTTTCATTCACCATTCTTCTCCATTTTTGATAACCAACGTGCTTTCCTATCCGTTTTTTTACTAGTCATTGACCATCCCAAATGGTAGGTTTATGGCTGGCTTTACGGCTTTACCACACTCGTGGACATATGGCAGGATCACCCCACGAAGCACCTGGTATGCAATTTGGAATATCACCCAGTTACCAATGGGATATCCCACCAAAATCCAGGACTTACTCAGTAGGGTGATTAACACAAGTTACCCTCTGGTAATTTAACATAGCTATTGAAAATGGTGATTTTCCATAGTTATGTTAGTTTACCAGAGGGTAACACAAGTTAATGATAAACCTAAGATTATCCCCGAATTACCCTAATCATTAAATTATTCACCCGGTTAATCACTTAACTTACTGTAATTACTACAGGATGGGGCCCCCATTCGATAGCGTTCAGTTGCCTTATTTTTGTGGCTGAATTCTATGGTTTATGGTAGATATAACTATAGTATTCATGGGGTTTTGTTATGGTTTATAAAGCAACAAACATAAAACATAGTTAAGATCCATGAATACTATAGTTATATCTACCTAGTATTCATGGGGGCTATTTCACATCACTGCGGGGCCCCATCCTGTGTTAACCATAGGACTGACGAGCACCGCTGGACCAACGTGTTGTCTCCGAGGACAGCAAGAAGTCTAAAAGATGCCGACATCTTGGCAGAGAATCGGCGGCGCAGGCGTGGGACAGGTGGAGTGTTGGTGGCTCTTCGAGGTACCCGGAAATCAGGGGATAACAATGGGATAGTCATGGGGTTAGTAGGAAAAATCATGGGAAATTCATGGGAAATTAAAGGGATTTAATGGGAAATTCATGGGAATTTCTATGGATGGTGTAATATATGTACATGACATACCCTCTGGGAAACAAACAGTTTGCTATTGAAAATGGCCCAGTCGAAATAGTTCATTTACCCATTAATAGCATGGTGATTTTCCAGTTCGTTATGTAAACGTTTACCAGAGGGTAGTAGGAAAATGGCTCGTGAATAATAGTTGATAATGGTTAGTAGCGAATACCCTTTGGTAATTTAACAGCTTGCGAACTGAAAAATCACCGTCTTTTTTCTCGCTAAATCATCTACAAATGGACCGTTTTCCATGGCTATGTGGAATTACCAGATGGTTACTTGTAGGTACATCCCAGGAATTGTAAGTGGTTTACAAGCCATATATACCTTGGGAAATACCACTAATCTAACTGGGACATTTCATATGGTTGTGACCGACTTACCATTCCTGGGACCTGGGATGCACCCTGACGTACATTTTTTAACGGGTACGATAAATTCGTTTGTCGGAAAATAGATACGATAAAATCGTAAGGTACAATTTATCATCAATAAGATTCATCGGACCATTTATCATTAACAGGTAGATGGTATGATAGATGGGTTTGTCTGAAAATTGGCTATGATGATAATATAGATTGACATAGGTAGATAAGAAATGGTAGTTTTCACAATTTTGATAGGTAAACGATGATACCCTCTGGGATGCAAATGGACTTGCTCGAAATCATCAACTTAGAGATGTTTATCCCATATTTTCACATTAAAGGCTGATATTTTTTCCAGTGCAATATTTTTTGGGGTTTCTAGGGAGCAAATGGGTACGATAATCAAAGGAAGTTGGGAAGCAAAACTTCCGAGTTGCGGACGAAGTGTAATGCAGTAACAATACATTACATAGCAACACATCACATAAAAAGAAAAAACATCTCACAACAATACATCACACAACAATACATCACACAACAATACATAACATAACCATACATCACATAACGATACATCACGAGTTACGGATGACTTTTATCTTTGGGATGTGTTGGTGACTTAGGGAAGTGGTGACTCAGGGAAGTGGTGACTCAGGGAAGTGGTGACTTAGGGGAGTGTTGACTCAGAGAAGTGTTGACTCAGAGAAGTGGTGACTCAGAGAAGTGGTGACTTAGGGGAGTGTTAACTTAGGAAAGATTCGGGAAGTATATATATATATACACACCTGTACATATACATAGTATCACTGGTTGGTGGTTTGGAACATTTTTTTTCCCATATATTGGGAATAATAACCCCAACTGACTAATATTTTTCAGAGGGGTTGAAACCACCAACCAGTATACATATACATAGTATCATATCATCTAGATCTGTGGTTGAGGAATATGCGGGGATATTCTGAATGATATTATGCCGTTGCATTGTAGAGATATTTGTGGATACCACATATGTAGTTGGTATGGTTTGAACTTGTTCGCCCCAACCCGGACGTTGCTCCACACTTACAATTACAATCGTCATGATCATCATCATCATCATGATCATGATGATCATCATCATCATCATCATCATAATCACCATCTTTATCTTCATGAAGGGATCAAAATTCGCCACCCCTATGAACAATATGTTGCTTGGGGTAATAACACCAACTATATCTGCATGAGGGATCAAAATTCGCCACCCCTATGGGCAATATGTTGATTGGGGTAATAGCATCAAATATATCTCCATGAGGGATCAAAATTCGCCACCCCCTATGAACAATATGTTGCTTGGGGTAATAACACCAACTATATCTCCATGAGGGATCAAAATTCGCCACGCCCTATGAGCAATATGTTGATTGGGGCAATAGCATCAAATATATCTCCATGAGGGATCAAAATTCGCCAGCCCCTATGAACAATATGTTGCTTGGGGTAATAACACCAACTATATCTCCATGAGGGATCAAAATTCGCCACCCCCTATGAGCAATATGTTGATTGGGGTAATAGCATCAAATATATATCTCCATGAGGGATCGAAATTTGCCACCCCTATGAGCAATATGTTGATTGGGGTAATAACATCATCTTTATCTTCATAAGGGATCAAAATTCGCCACCCTTTATGAACAATATGTTGGTTGGAGTAAAAACACCAACTCTATTTTCATAGCCACCTGAAGTCAGACGTGGAGCAACGTCAGGGTTGCAGCGAACTTGTTTTACATAGCATGTTTATTGCATCACCTTTTCCCGATAGTAAAAATGGTTGCTCATGAATATGCACACCCACATATGTATGTATATATATATACATAATACATTATATATACATAATACATGGTATATATATATGTATACATAGTATATGATTTACATACATACATACATACATACATACATACATGCATACATGAATACATGAATACATGAATACATGAATACATGAATACATGAATACATACATACAGACATACAGACAGACATACAGACATACAGACATACAGACATACAGACATACATACATACATACATAGACATACAGACATACAGACATACAGACAGACAGACAGACAGACATACAGACATACAGACATACAGACAGACAGACAGACAGACAGACATACATACAGACATACAGACATACAGACATACAGACATACAGACATACAGACATTCAGACAGACAGACATACAGACATACAGACATACAGACATACAGACATACAGACATACAGACATACAGACAGACAGACATACATACATACCGACATACCGACATACAGACATACAGACATACATACATACATGTACAAGTACATGTACATGTACATTTACATATACATATACATATACATATACATATACATACATATTTACATATTCATATCCCAGTATATCCTGTCAAGCCAGTTCCACAATTATCCCATTAGGTCCATGATTTTTCCCATGACTGGGTATATAAACATATACATATATCCCTGCCATGGTCCTAGGCGCATGCTGAAGCAGAGCCGCGGCCGTGCACCACAGCGCTTGATTTTGAAGGCCTCGCCTGAAGCGGTGAAGGCCGCCGAAGGTGCCGCGTGGAGTGCGATGCGAAGAGCGAAGAGCGAAGCGATGGGATGCGAATTCATGGGAAGCCCATGATAGAAATCCTCATTTGTAGATTATCTATAGATCTATCTATAGATATATAATCTATAATCATGGAAACCCTCATTTGTAGATGATTTTCCCAGCTATAAACCTCCATGAAAATCGGGGAATATACTTGGTGAACAAATCCCACAAATCGTTTTGGTGGGTTATAAGATTCTAACATGTTATAACCCCACTAAGTGGGATAAGTAAGGTTAATCCACTTGCACGTAGGGTTCTAATCCACTTACTAAGTGGGATGAACCACCAGATTATACCATGATCATATAGCGGGATATTTGATGAGTCTAATTCCGTGGTGGGTACTCATGGGTATACAGTGGGAATACTATGAGAATATAACATGTAAGTGGTGTATGAGGAATATCGTGATATATCTAAAAATAGTGAAACATATATGTTTATATACGGTTGTGTGCCCCCACAACTACTTAAATATAATGGGTATATAGTGGGAATATCATGAGCATACAAAATATTATACAATGTATGGGAATAATGGATATATAATGGCTTTATATATATATAATATATATGGGTATATATATATAAAATATAGAGAATCCTCCTTGCTTTAATGGGTACGTAATGGGAATATCATGAAAATAAACTCATTGATATATGACGATACATGCTTGATAGAATTTGATTTGGATTAATATTTTCTGTATAGTCGCATTGAAAATCGAATTTTTGTTGGTAAGATCCTCATTTCCTGGTATATGATGGACATCCAATCAATGATTTCTCCAATGTTTTACCCTCTGGCAAACGTTTACAAAAAACTATGGACGTCACCATTTTTCATGGTAAATCAACTATTTCTATGGCAATTTTCAATAGCTTTTTGTATGTTTACCAGAGGAGATGGGGTTTTCACTCCTTGGCGACCATGGACGACACTGGACGCTCAGGTGCCGCTCCAAGAGCAACCACCAAGAAGTCTGCGAAGGCTGGCGCACGTGCGACCAAGAAGTCCTTCTTTAGGCGCGGCTGGTGAAGTGGTGAACGGTGAACGGGCGGAATCTGATTGGTGGGGTCGTCATCCTGGGTTTGTTGAAGGAATTTACTGGGATTTCATGGGATTTACCCTCTGGTTATTTAACATAGCCATGGAAAATTACCCATTTATAGATGGTTTACCTATTGAAAATTGTGATTTTCCATGGCTATGCTAAATAACCAGATGGTAACGGTGATACAATGGATTTGTTTTGACGGCGACTTTTTGTTTTGACAACTGGGAAATTTCACCACGTAAAAAAGGGGGAATCTATAGAGATTTTTCTGTAAATTTTGAACCCCCAAAAAAATGCGCAAATCCAAATCATGGTTCAACCTCCGAGTTCTTCGTAAACCATGTTGGTTTCCACGTTTGAAATGGAAATTACTCTCTGGTAATTTGACATAACTATTGAAAATGGCCATTTATAGTGAGTTCTCCAATTAAAAATGGTGATGTTGCATAGTTATGTTAGTTTACCAGAGGGTATTCTATGGACAGGCTTGCGCGAGCCGTTTTTGTGGGCAAAGGAGAGCCAGTTTTTTTGAAAAACACGGATGATTTGACCTCTTGATTTCCGACAGGACTGTTCCGCCCATTTTCGCATCGGGGTAGGAAAACCCCTGACGTAGGATATTCGGGGATTTATACATTGGATAATCCCCAATATGGATATAATTATATTGGATAATCTGACATTGGATATTCTGACATAGGATATTTCAATTAATCACACAATTGCTGATTGAATTTGGATTAATCCCCATATATATATATGTATATATATATATCTATCTATCATGCCCACTTTATTTGATAATGGGCCAACAAAACTGGGGTGATACCACGAAACAGGTTGATTTGTAGCCAGAAATGGGGATGCATAACATATTATCAGCTGAAATGGTGAGTGGCTACCAACTAGTAGCGAGGGAACTTAAAATTCATGGGCTAGTTTCCGAGCAAAAAGTTGGGATTTCATGGGGAGGGAACAAAAAATGGGCTAGTATCCTTGCAAAAATTGGGATTTCATGGGAATACCCAAGGATTTCATGGTGATTTACTGGGATTTCCATGGGGATTTTTTGACGACTTTCCACTTAAAAAAAATCATCTTACTTGGATCGCGGTTTCGAAACTGGGACCCTGGGAGGATCCCCTAGGCCAGTGGGGACACCAGGTAGGGATCCTTTTAGGGGACCACGTTTGCTAAACTACCGTGTCTAGCTGATCTTTTAAGGAAAATACAGAGATTTCCGGCTGCGATTCAGAGATAGAAATCGATAAGGACCAACCTGGGTCTGAAACATTTCCCGAAAGTTTGGGGGCCACTGTTTCCAAATGGCCGGCAAGCTTACCACGAGCACCAGCTAGCACTAAGAGATGGGCACATCCCAAGATGTCGGATTTAAAGCCGCACACTTTTATGAACCAAGAAGATTGTGCTCATTCAGTTCCATAATTGCCCAACCAGTGTGGCCACACTTGGGGTTCTTACGGTTTTTTAGGCCCGCTGTTGAATCGACATCCTACGTATCAAAATCATCTAATGTGGTTAAAACAATGTCATAAACCACCCAAACATGGGAATTGTTTATACCACCTATAAAAATGGTGATTTTGGGGATGGTTTATTATTTCAACCACATTGATCATTTTTTTGGACCCACATTAATCATTTTATTTTGACTACATTAATCATTTTTCAACCACATTAATCACTAGGTCGCCAGGCGCCAGCGACAAAAATCGCTTGGATCAGACCCAGTAACCCATCCAGTGCAGCCACTTGTGGGATATCCTACACCTCTGGGAGATGGATATAGCCTAGTATGATGTATATATAGATGGATATGAGGGTTTCCATAGTCATGGGGGTACCCCCAAAATGCTGGATGGTTTATAGTGGAAAATCCCAATCTAAAATAGATGATTTGGGGGTACCCCCCATGTCACGAAACCTCCATATGGCTCATGAATTATTTGCTTCTTGGGTCCCTTTCTCCCCCAAGCGCCCACGCCCCCATGCCAGGGGAGCGCCGGCTGAGAAGGATCCAGGCCACGAACATGACATGATCTATGTGGATTTGCTGGACTTAGGCGGGGATGGCGGGCCAAATCGGGGAATTGATGGGAAGCCCCTACCATTTTGAGCTTCGTTTGGGTATGTGTCATGGGCTACGTATTTTTCCGGGGAATTTTTTTCAGATTTCCCGGGGATTTTTTTTCAGAAATCTATTCGCAGGCCACGCAGGGAACAGGCAAGCAAGCAAGCAAGCAAGCAAGCCAGCCAGCAAGCAAGCAAACAAGCAAGCCAAGCAAGCAAGCAAGCAAGCAAGCCAGCCAGCCAGCAAGCAAGCAAGCAAGCAAGCAAGGCAGCAAGCAAGCAAGCAAGCAAGCAAGCAAGCAAGCAAGCAAGCAAGCAAGCAAGCAAGCAAGCAAGCAAGCAAGCAAGCAAGCAAGCAAGCAAGCAAGCAAGCAAGCAAGCAAGCAAGCAAGCAAGCAAGCAAGCAAGCAAGCAAGCAAGCAAGCAAGCAAGCAAGCAAGCAAGCAAGCAAGCAAGCAAGAAGCAATGCCGCCCGCCACGCACGCCCGCCGCCCGCACACGCCAGCAGACAGCCAGCCAGCAAGCAAGCAAGCAAGCCGCAAGGCAAGCAAGCAAGCAAGCAAGCAAGCACACCACAAGCGACAGCGAGCGAGCAAGCAAGCAAGCAAGGGAGGAAGCACGGCAGTCAGCGAAGCGAGAAGGTGAGCAAGCCATGCAGGGAGCCAGCCAGGCAGCAAGCAAGGAAGGTATCCAATCAAGCATTGTATAAGTATGGCGCGCGATTGCAATACCACCCCCCGTATCCATGTGCATAAGCAAAAGACAATGTAAATACCATACAAAACTGCATTTCCAGGATGTTATTGTTCCAAAAAAAATATGGCGCCTCATATAGAGGGGATTCCCATGGGAGGTTTATTTTTTTTTGTTTTTTTTTGCGTTTTGGGATTTTTTTTTTGGATTCTGTCTTGAGAAGGAGAGGCCAGGAAGGAAGGAAGGAAGGAAAGGAAGGAAAGGAAGGAAAGGAAGGAAAGGAAGGAAAGGAAGGAAAGGAAGGAAAGGAAGGAAAGGAAGGAAAGGAAGGAAAGGAAGGAAAGGAAGGAAAGGAAGGAAAGGAAGGAAAGGAAGGAAAGGAAGGAAAGGAAGGAAAGGAAAGGAAGGAAAGGAAAGGAAGGAAAGGAAGGAAAGGAAGGAAAGGAAGGAAAGGAAGGAAAGGAAGGAAAGGAAGGAAAGGAAGGAAAGGAAGGAAGAAGGGACAGGAAGGAAAGCAAACGAAAGGAAAGGAAAGGAAGAGATCCATTTGAATAATAATGTTGTATAATGTTGTTTAATTTGTATAAAGCATGGCTCAGCGTTTGTATAATGTTGTCAAGTCATTCGCGTGCATGTGCAGTATCAGGTCTACCCTGGTTTGCCGAGGTTGTCCGCTCCGCTCTGGCTTGGTCCTTCTTACATGTTGCCCCGGTCCTCTTTTGTATGTGTTCATGCCGAATCTTTTTATTTTAAAGCCCCCCCCGCGGCTTGTGACAACGCCAGAAAGGTGGATGATAAGGCCCACCTACATTGCGAATGAATGTATCATGACTATGTGACGCTTTGCGGGCGGAGGCGCTGCGCCCTCCCCCCGCGCCCCCCTCCCCGCCTTTTTATTTTAGAGCCACCCCCCGCGGCTTGTGACAAAATGCAAGTGTATGATACGGCCCACCTTCTGTTTCAAGCGTGTGTGATCAAACTTGTCGTCAAAATTCAAGTGCGTGCTTTGCTGCCATGCTGTGACAAAACCACAAAGGTGGATGATATGGCCCACCAACTGCTACGTCTAGTATTACGCTACCGCTGTGTGCTGTGACAACGCCACAAAGGTGGATGATAAGGCCCACCTCCATTGCGAATGACTGTATCATGACTATGTGACGCTTTTCCCCCGGCGCCCGCCTCCCGCCTTTTTATTTTAGAGGCAACCCCCCGCGGCTTGTGACAAAATGCAAGTGTATGATACGGCCCACCTTCTGGTTCAAGCGTGTGTGATCAAACTTGTCGTCAAAATTCAAGTGCGTGCTGTGCTGCCATGCTGTGACAAAACCACAAAGGTGGATGAAATGGCCCACCAACTGCTACGTCTAGTATTACGCTACCGCTGTGTGCTGTGACAACGCCACAAAGGTGGATGATAAGGCCCACCTACATTGCGAATGAATGTATCATGACCATGTGACGCTTTGCGGGGGGAGGCGCTGCGCCCTCCCCCCGCGCCCGCCTCCCGCCTTTTTATTTTAGAGGCAACCCCCCGCGGCTTGTGACAAAATGCAAGTGTATGATACGGCCCACCTTCTGTTTCAAGCGTGTGTGATCAAACTTGTCGTCAAAATTCAAGTGCGTGCTGTGCTGCCATGCTGTGACAAAACCACAAAGGTGGATGAAATGGCCCACCAACTGCTACGTCTAGTATTACGCTACCGCTGTGTGCTGTGACAACGCCACAAAGGTGGATGATAAGGCCCACCTACATTGCGAATGAATGTATCATGACCATGTGACGCTTTGCGGGGGGAGGCGCTGCGCCCTCACCACGCCCCCCCCCGCGCCCCCCTCCCGCCTTTTTATTTTAGAGCCACCCCCCGCGGCTTGTGACAAAATGCAAGTGTATGATACGGCCCACCTTCTGTTTCAAGCGTATGTGATCAAACTTGTGGTCAAAATCTCTCTATCTATCTATCTGTCTGTCTATCTATCTATCTATCTATCTAGCTATCTATCTCTCTATCTATCTATCTATCTATCTATCTCTCTATCTCTCTCTCTCTCTATCTATCTATCTATCTAATCTAATCTAATCTCATCTAATCTAATCTAATCTAATCTAATCTAATCTATCTATCTATCTATCAACCTATCTATCTATCAATCTATCATGTCTGGTTGTTTAACACAGTGGATGCACGATGAATACAACGGCAAACGACACAGAACCGTCCATGCCACTAGTGATCGCATGTATGCAAGTCGCGGGAAACACGTCCAAAAACGGCAAGAACAAAACAAAATCGTTCAAAACCAAAAAACCGGTGCAAAGCAAACTAAACACCCAAAAAACGTTTAAAACTCTGGAAAATGAATGGAAGCCAAGGAATACACCGGTTGGCGCCATGGAACAAGCAAACAACACGCCCCGCAGGACAGAGTCCAAAAAAAAATCCCAAAACGCAGAAAAAAAATCCCAAAATAATTCTCCATCCATTCCCATGGAGCCCTTTCCGCATGGTTGCTGCTTCTGGCCTTGTGTGTTTTGCTATATAGACCCCGTATCCTGAAAAAAAATCACCGGGAAATCTGAAAAAAAATCCCCGGGGACGCCCACACCCTGTGTCATGTCATTGGATATCCCAATATTCCCAATAGTTGGATGGTTGATACTAAAAATCGACTAAAATCTGTGGTCCCCCAGGTCTTGAAAAAATGACCCATAGCCATTTGGGTTTGTCGGAAAATAGACCCTCAATCCTTCGGTTCGTCATCATTGACCCAATTTTCACACACACACACCCAGAGGGAAACTCTAGAAAGGGGTCACAGCCTTTTGTCAGTTTGATACAGACCACAGATTTCCAGTTTTTGAGTATATACTTCAATGTGTATCTCAGTTTCTAAGCGTGTAAAACCACATGACATAATCAAGTTTGTGTATGGGATATACCCCGGAAATACATGGGTTATGAACCATTGACCAGGTGGGCTGCAGCCCAAGTGCCCTTTTTTTCATCTCCGGCCTGAAGTGATTTTTTTGAAGCTGTGGATGGTGCAGCAAGATCCAGCGACATGTTTTTTTTGGAGGGTTTTGGACATGACATGGCCCAAAATTATAGACAGCGGAAATTTGCCGGATCAATGCTATATAAAACCACTAAAGTAGTCATCACTTTGGCAGCATCATATTTTGATTCAAGATTTGTTCAAGATTGAAGAAAAACTACAAGAGTTACAAGAGTGAAGCGAGGGAACCAGGGAAGTTATCACCGCCACAGCATATAGTGCATAAGAAGTCATGGGTTGGCAAATGGGGCGTGTCTGTTCATGGGGTATACCCCAGCCAGTCCATTGTCATTTGAAAGGGGAACATGATATAACATTTTTTTTGACATCACGATAACCTCTAGTAATCGAACGTGGCTTGCAATGGAAAATCCCCCAATTTCAATGGAGCCTTGAATGGGGTACCCTCTGGTAATTTAACATAGCTATGGAAAATCACCATGCTATTCATGGGAAAATCCACTATTTCTATGGTCATTTTCAATAGTGGATTTTCCAGCCACGGAACTGATGACCGGAGGGTAATTCAGTGGATGAAATGGGGAATTTTCGCCCCTGAGTGGTGGAGATCATCTCCCGGAACATGAGCGGTGGGAACCTGCTATGGGATGGGCCCTGATAATCAGGCAATTCAATGGAGGTACCCGACCTGGAAAACATACAAAAAACGATGGAAAACCACCATTTTTCATGGCTAAATGCACTATAAATCACCATTCTCAATAGCTTTTTGTATGTTTACCAGAGGGTAGTTGAGGGCAACTCGTTCCTGATTGCGACTCTCAAGATCCAACAAATCAGCAAATCGTTGCGGCTGACCGGGCTTGAAATTCTGGCGACTTCCAACAGGCGAACTGAAGACACTTTGAGCTACCCTTTGGTAAACATACAAATAGCAATTGAAAATGGCAATTTATAGATATTTATAGTGGATTTACCCATTAAAAACAATGATTTTCCATAGTTATGTTAGTTGAAAATTGCCATTTATAGTGGATTTACCCATTAAAAACGGTGATTTATAGTGGATTTACCCATTAAAAACAATGATTTTCCATAGTTATGTTAGTTTATCAGAGGGTAGCTAAAGTCTTCTGTTTCGGATCGGAGTCTGCGAAGTCCCGTTTTTTTTTGCTCAGTGCTCCATGTTTGTTAGGCCCATGTCTGTGTTCTATTTTAAGCCATGTTACATCCTTGTTGAGTTGAAGATACCCTCTGGTGATTTAACATAGCCATGGTATAGATGGCCTAGAAATAGATGATTTTCCCAGCTATAAACCATTATAAACCTCCATGTATGAGAGATTTTCCATGGCTATGTTAGCCATAACCAGATGGTAATCCTTTTTACTTTCCCCATTCCTTGTTCACAATCCTAGTCCCGTTTGGAGGATCATCGAATTTTAGTAGTGCTGAGTGTTTCTGGGGTTAGTTCACCCATTTATACATGGGAACATCCACGAAAAAAAGGGGACGGAGTCGTTCACCAGGCTTAAGTTGACAAGCATGATTCGTGGATGATCTTTCAGAGGGACGATTCTTAAACACCATTACTACATCATATTCCCATGCCATAATCCTGGTTACCAGTAGTACCGCACAAGGCGGTGGCGGAAGTTTCAAAAATAGGAAACCTATAGGAGAGATTGGTTGTTGTGAATCAGGGATGGCAGGGCGAAGCCACTGATGGATCGAAAGACGATTGATCTCTCTCACTCTTTCTCTGACTGTCTACTACCTACCTATCTATCTAGCTATGTATCTATCTATCGATCTATCTATCTAGCTATCTATCTATCTATCTATCTATCTCTCTATCTAGCTATCTATCTCTCCCTCTCTCTCTTTCATTTGATTACTCTATCTATCTATCTATCTACCTATCTATCTATCTATCGATCGATCTATCTATCTATCTATCTATCTATCTATCTCTCTCTCTCTCTTTCATCTGTCTAGCTGTCTACCTGTCTATCTATTTTTCTATCTATCTATCTATCTCTCTCTCTCTCTCTCTCTTTCATCGGTCTATCTGTCTAGCTGTCTAGCTGTCTACCTGTCTGTCTATCTATCTATCTATCTATCTGTTTGTCTGTCTGTCTGTCTACCTATCTATCTATGGTGCACCTAGCTACCTACCTACCAATCTATCTATCTATCTTTGTATCTATCTATCTATCGGTCTATCTCTCTCTCTCTCTCTCTTTCATCTGTCGCTCTGTCTAGCTGTCTACCTGTCTATCTGTCTATCTTTGTATCTATCTATCTATCTATCGATCTATCTCTCTCTCTCTCTTTCATCTGTCTCTCTGTCTAGCTGTCTACCTGTCTATCTGTCTATCTATGTATCTATCTATCTATCTGTTTGTCTGTCTGTCTATCCGTCGACCTGTCTATTTAGGGTGCAATGTCATTCAGTCTAATGTAGTGTAGTGTACTGTAGTGTAGTGTAGTGGAATGTAGTGGAAGGTAGTGTAGTGCAGTGTCATGTAGTGTGTGTAGTGTAACTTAGTGTAGTGTAAATTAGTGTCGGGGAGGGTAACGGAGTGTAGTTGTAGTTGTAGTGTAGTGTAATGTAGTGAAGCGTAGTGGAAGGTAGTGCAGTGTAGTGTAATGCAGCGTAGTGGAGTGTAGTGTAGTGTCATGTAGTGTACTGCAGTGTAATTTAGTGCAGTGGAGTGTAGTGGAGTGTAGTTGTGTAGTTGTAGTGTAGTGTAGCGGGATGTAGTGTAGTGTAATGTCGTGTAGTGGTGCGTAGTGGAGTGTAGTGGAGTGTAGTGAAATGTAGTTGTGTAGTTGTAGTTGTACTGTTGTGGAGTGTAGTGTAGTGTAATGTAGTGAAGTGTAGTGGGAGCAGTGTAATGCAGTGTAATGTAGTGTAGTGTAGTGGAGTGAGTTGTGTACTTGCAGTTGTAGTTGTAGTCTAGTGGAGGGTAGTGTAGTGTAATGTAGTGAAGTGTAGTGGAAGATGGTGTAATGTAGCGCAGTGGTGTCTATCTATGTACCTGTCTATCTATCTATCAATCTATCTATCGATCGATCTATCTATCCATCCGAATCCATCCATCTACTGTGTACTGATACGATCCTCATGTTCCTAAATTGAAACTTCAACAGCTCCTACAGCGTTAACACAACAGACTCCAAACCCAAAAAAGGCTCAAAACCCTGTAGTTGTTGTTGTTGTGGTTGGTGTTGTTGTTGTTGTTGCTGTTGCTGTTGCTGTTGTCGTCGTCGAAGTTAGGGTAGTTAAGTTAGTGAAGTTAGTTAAGTTAGTCAAGTTAGTTAAGTTAATCAGTGTCTACTTTTTCGACATCTTCACGTCAAAAAAGGCTCAAAACCCTCAGTTTTTTTTTGCACTTTTGACTTCGAAATGTGCTTCGCGCCACGACAGCGTGCACTTTTTCGACACTTTTTCGACATCTGAACCTCCAAAAGTGGTCCGAGACCGTCAGTTTTTAGCACTTTTGACTTCAAAATGTGTTTCGCGCCACAACGGCGTGCACTTTTTCGACATCTCAACTTCCAAAAGTGGTCCGAACCCCTGGTGTTTTGTACATTTTCACTTCAGAATGTGCTTCGCGCCACAACGGCGTGCACTTTTTCGACATCTTGACTTCCAAAAGTGGTCCGGACCTGGTGTGTTTTGTACATTTTGACTTGGAAATGTGCTTCGCGCCACAACGGCGTGCACTTTTTCGACATCTCAACTTCCAAAAGTGGTCCGGACTGGTGTGTTTTGTACATTTTGACTTGGAAATGTGCTTCGCGCCACAACGGCGTGCACTTTTTCGACATCGCAACTTCCAAAAGTGGTCCGACCATGGTGTGTTTTGTACATTTTGACTTCAAAATGTGCTTCGCGCCACAACGGCGTGCAAATTTTCATCTCTCATCTGGCCAGCTGGCTCCGCACCCGTCGCTTTAGCGAGCCTACTTTTCGACCCTCTGGAGCCCCAAATCATTGGAAAAACACAGTGTTTCGCGACTTTCCTACCTTTTCGCGCATCTGCATCTTCTGTCTTCTGACTCTTTCTCTTCTGATCTTCTCTCTTCTAATCTTTCTCTTTTCTCTGCCTCTTCCCTGCTTTGCTTTTCATCTGTCCATATTGTCGGAAGTTTGACTTCTAAACTTCCTTCGAATATTGTTCATGATGGGTTTTAATTAACATAATCACTTTCCATTGAACATTGTGGTTAATCAATGTTAATCATACTAAATAATATATAATAATTAATTAACCATAATGAACATGGAATCATGGTTAGCCTGGTTAACAATGGTTCATGATAATGGGTTAATAAGACTGGTTAATAATGAAATGGTTACTCATACTCAATAATCCTGAGCAAATTATAGTGACCTGGAATCATGATTAGCAAGGGACAACTATCCGCAAAAGGGCCGCACTTTTCAGGTGATTCTCCGATCACTGGATATTTCAGGGAACATCTTAACCGGAGTTTCCATGGTAGTTTTCCGAGTTTCCCCGAAAAATAACAAAGGGCTTCCGGTTGAAAAAAATGGTCGTTTAGTCGTTTTCCCAGCAAATCTCGATGACAAATTACGGGGCTTCCGGTTGAACAATTTTCCCTTTGCACCGATCCAATGATACCAGGCCCCATCTTCATCGGTGCATCCCCATCTGATCATGTCCGATCCGCCGTCCCCAGGTGTGAAGGAACGACCGGAGGAGGATAGAGGCGGAAAGACGGGGGACGGGGAGCTGATGAAGCCATGAAGCAAATGAGTGGCTGCGAAAGCCTGGTTGGTTGATGATGATCAAAGTAATTTAGTTTTACCCTCTGGTAAACTAACATAACTATGGAAAATCACCATTTTTTGTGGGAAAACTCACTATAAATGGCCATTTTCAATAGCTATGTTAAATTACCAGAGGGTAAGTTTAGTTTTAACCATCATTTTTTTGGATGTAATTTTTATAACAGATTGTTAGTTGATGATGAGTTGCGGGATCAATTTTTTACTAGCCTTTAGATATTGGGGACAATCCAATAATCCAAGAACGAATCCCTATCGACCAACCAAGGATTTTCCATGGAATGATACGAGTTTAACCATCAAAACAATTGGAGGTATGACCAATCAAAATAGGAACTCCAACCACACAGATGTATATATATATATATATGTATATATATATATGTATATGTATATATATATATATATGTATATGTATATATATATATGTATATATATATATATGTATATGTATATATATATATATGTATATATATATATGTATATATATGTATATATATATGTATATATACACATATATATGTATATATATATAATATGTATGATTTTTGGAGGGGTTTAGTGTTATGTATATATAATTATGTATATGTTATATTACTTTACACATTTTATATATTCATAATAATAATATATGACTGGTTGGTGGTTTGGAACTTTTTTTCCTCCATATATTGGGAATAATCATCCCAACTGACTAATATTTTTCATAGGGGTTGAAACCACCAACCAGATAATATATAATATATATATACACATGGTATTGTGATGCGACCGGGTCCCGCGCTTCCCAGCCATATTTTTTTTGGGGTTTCAGTCATCCCCACCGCAAGGTTGGCGGCAGTTTACCGTAAGTTATGCGAAGCCATATGCTACTTACTGGTGCTTAGTAGGGAACGTATGGGAATGGGGGAATGGGATGATTATTGATGGTTATTGTGGATCATTCCCTCATTCCCTACTAAGCACAAATAAGGCTATGGTTGGTTACTCTATACTCAAAAAACGCTAATCATATCCCATAATTCATGTTTTTTCCTAGTACATCCCCAGTATATCATCATATCATCTTTGGCTCATGACCCATGTTTGTCGTAAGTGACCCCTTCCCATGTTATCAATTGCCTGGCACGATCTCAGTATCTCCTAGATTGTCATCTGCAAGCCTTCTGCAAAACCCAGTGCATCAGTATCCCATTATAACCCATAACCTATAAAACAAACATTTCCAGAAAACCCAAATAACCAAAATTTCCAGGAACAAAAACCAAAAAACATCTGGGAACTATGGATCCACTCCATAAAACTCTAGAAAATATCATCCCATGGCATTTTTCCACATTTTTCAAAAGCCCCGTGAAATGCCACGAAGGTGAACATGTGGGATCCGGAAGCTGTGCCGCCTGTTACGCCGTGGTGGGCGGCAGCTATTTCTATCGGGGCTTCGCTTGCCCGACGTGTCAACAGGTGGCCATGGGATTTACCATGGGATTTTTTCAGGTTTCCATAGGGGTACCCCCCGAAAATGCTGGTTGATTGATTTCATGGAAAATCCGGTTGGATATTTTATGAGAACTGGGGGTACACCCATGACAAAACGGAAACCTCCATTGAATTGGATTTAAATGGAATTTCGTGGCAACTTCATTGGGATTTGATGGTGAATTCATGGTGATTTAACGCTAAATTCATGGTGATTTGGTGGGATTTAAGGGGATTCAATGGTGACAATCTGGTTGGTTTGTTTAGAACATGACTTTTATGACTTTCCATATATTGGGAATGGATTATAGTGGTTTAATGGATTTTCGTAGATGTTCATGGATTTTCCCATCATATTGGGAATGGAATAACATCCCAACTGACTTTAAGTCCATTTTTCAGAGGGGTAGGGTAGGTATACCACCAACCAGCCATGGATTTGATGAGTTGATACACACCAGGACTGAGGAATCTGGGGAAACCTGGAAGGACGAACTGGGAGGATTTCACTGACGTTTCTCAGTGATTTCATGCTCCAGATCCAGATTTTGGGGTGCGGGGATCCTTTATCTCACAACGGGAGAAAGAGACCTAGAGGAAAATAGAGGAAGTGTTTGTGAGGAACAGGGCTGTTTGAGTTCTACGGTGGTTTTTTTGTTGACACAGAAAAAAGGTCATGTTGAAGCAACTCAAGCAACTGAAAACCTGTGAAGATGGGTGATTTTTGATTGAAGGGAGCGTGGCCATCCAAAACAAGAACCAACTATTTGGAGTATAGAAACGTTTTGATCCATAGTACCATAGCCAGTGAAATGGAGCTTTCCTAAAATGGTGGTACCCCCAAATCATCCATTTATAGATGGTTTTTCCATTATGGGGTACCCCTATTTTAGGAAACCTCCATATAATTATAGTTAATGTGGTGCATAAACCAACCAACATCACTGGGGGGGCCTCACCTTGCCCTCATTCAGAAACCGTAGAAACCGTGGTGAAATTGGGTGAATTGCTTCGAAGCCTCTCAAAAAACCCAAAATAAACCCAAAACGTGAACTGGTCATCCATGACGACTGGATGATGACTGGGGTACCCCTATGACTTTTCCGCGCCATCCTGAGGGTTTTTCACGGTGTTCGCGGGAAAATAGGGTGGTTACCCAATTCCAAAGCTCTCCAAAGAGTTGGATTTTTTTTTGGATGGCCACGCTCCCTTCAATATAATATAATATAATATAATATAATGGAATATAATATAAAATATCATTATGATATAATTATGATATAATATGAATAAACATACATCCAACCTATTGTGGGTAAATTATAGCAACTTTCGGGGGTAAATGGGTAATTTTACCTTTTATTTACCCAACTTACCCCCTTGCACCTAGGCTGTTTGGAGCCACCCTGTTAAACCATCCTTGTGTACATCAATGAACATGAACCATTTGTAACTTATTTTCCACAAAAAACCATAGGTTTTCCACATGCTGAAGGTTTTTTGTCCATCATCCATGGATTTTTGACGCTGGTAGGCTGGCAGCCGGTATTTGCTATGCTACAAGTGCCTGGACGTAGCTTTTGTTCAGCTTTCACAGAGCTTTGACCAAGAAAAAAGGGATATTCCAAAAAGGGTGGTCTATACATGTCAGTCCATACTATCATGTGCATATATTATGTATGCATACATGATTATAATCATATATGTATATATCTATATCCTTGTATGTTTATGTACACACATAATTATAATTACATCTATATAAATTTGATGTACCATTATCCCATTCCGTTTGGCTACCTCGCGTTTGACCCGTCCCCAAATCTTTTTCATATACCATAGGTAAACCAAAAAAGGAGAACTCAGCGGGCAAACAGATGGCTACTTTGGGTGGTGCCTCATGATAAGTTGGTATATATATATATATAAGTACTATATATAATTATACTATAGGTATTTCATCTATATAACTATACTATATAACTAGGTTTACATGTTTACTACCCATCTATATAACTATACTATATATACTATAGGTATTTCATCGCCTACCCTAGTTACTGAAGTGACGAACACCACCTTGTCGGTAAGCAGATGGCTACTGCTATGAGTCAGAAAGAATAATCTATCTTATATATTTGGGAATATCACAATGCGGTAGCGATTTGATTTGGGGATGCATGTTTTTTGGACCTGGGCACCCTTTTTTTGGACCTGTACATGTTTTTTGGACCTGACCGGAATTTTTTTTGGACCTAGGGTCACAAAAAATGTGGGGGACTTGCTTGTGTGTTTTCTGGACCCTGTGGGGATATTTTTTTTGGACCTGCATGTATTTGTGCTGGACCCAGGGGAATTTTTTTCGACAGCCAAATTAATTGTTTTTGAGCTCGGTTTCTGCTTTTTGGACCCGTGCGCCTGCTTCGTGGACCTTGCCTCCATAGGGTGGGGGGGAAACTCCATTGTTATAGGCGCTCACATTGGGCTGGATGTTTTTGGACCTTGGCGCCTTCTTTTTTGGAACCCGTACACGTTGTTTTGGACCTGGCACAGGGCGGGGGGAATTTAGATACTGAGACAAGATGCATGCAAGAAGTTGTTGATGCCGGCCGGGGAAGTTCCAGCATTGAAACAATAAAAACGTAAGAAGTGGTGGAGAGGCCAATGGGGGAAGTCTATGTATGAAGCGAAATGGACGCAGGAAATTGACGGGCACATAGGAGAAAGGGAAAGTTCGATATTGAAACAGGATGAGCGCAGAAAGTTGTTGAGAGATGAGGGGTGAAGCCTAGGCCTAGACATTGAAACGAAATGAAGATACATGAAGATACATGCAAAAAATGCTGAGAGACGCAGGGGGAATTTTTGGGACCCGAAAATGAATGCCGGAAGAGGGTGGGGGGAATTTAGATATTGAGACAAGATGCATGCAAGAAGGTGTTGAGAGAAACGGGGGAACATGTAGATATTGAAGCCAGGTGACCGCAGAAAATTGGTGAGAAAGAGGCAGGTGGGAGAGGGGAAAGTTAGACATCGAAACAAGGATGAACGCAAGAAGTTGCTGAGACGAGAAGCGGAAGTCTAGATATTGAACCCAAATACGGTGCATGCAAGAAGCTGTGGAGAGACGAGGGGAAGCTGATATATTGAAACCGCATGAATGCGGGAAGCTGTGGAGAGGCACCGGTGGGGGGGACTTTAGGAGGCCACGGTGGAACCAGATATAAAACCAAATGAATCCAGGAAGTTGCTCAGGGGCACCGGGAATATTGAAGCAAGATGAATGCAGGAAGTTGTTGCGGGGCACCGGGGAGGAAGCTTAGATATTAAAGCAACATGAACGCAAGAAGTTATGGGGAGGCTGCGGGGGAAGTATAGATATTGAAACCCAATGAATGCAGGAAGTTTAGGAAGTTTGATGAGAGGCACAGGGGGGGAAGTTAGATATTGAAACCAGATGAGCGCAAGAAGTTGTCGAGAGACAAGGGGGGAAGCTTAGACATTGAAACCAAGTTGAGATGCATGCAAAAAGTTGTCAAGAGGCCAGAGGTGAAGTCTTGAGACCAAGCAAATGAATGCAGGAAATTGGTGAGAGGCACAAGGGGGGGGGAAGTTTAGATATTGAAGCCAGGTGAATGCTCCCAAGTGGGGCACAGAGGTGTGAAGAGTAGAAATTGAGAAGAAGAGGGCAGAATGGGAAGGAGGTGGGAAACCCAATGTTTCACAAGGAGATGGGCGCTGCAACCCCTGGAGAGTATAGATATTGAAGCCCAATGAATGCAGGAAGTTAAAGAAGTTTGATGAGAGGCCCCGGGGTGAAAGTTAGATATTGAAACCAGATGAGCGCAAGAAGTTGTTGAGAGACAGGGGAAGCCGAGATATTGGAACCAAATGCATGCAGGAAGTTGCTGAGAGGCACAGGGGCGCAGGAGAAGTTCGGATATTGAAACAGCGTAAAGGCAAAAAGTTGTGGAGATGCAACGGGGGGAAAGCTACATATGAAACCAAATGGATGCAGGAAGTTGACAGGCACATTGGGGGAAGAGAAAGCTAGATATTAGAACAAGATGAGCGCAATAAGTTGCTGAGAGTTGACGGGTGAAGCTAGACATTGAACCCACATCGGCTGCAGGCAATGAAGACCGTCATGGACAGATGTGTAAACGTACCGGCGAGGGGGTGCTCCTGGGCGCAATGGTCGCAGCTGAGGGTGCCACATGAGTCGACATCGAAATCAATGTAGCCTCGTTGGTTAGTATCTGGTCACAGGACGTATGGACATGTAGACGCGGCTGGAATGCAAGAAGATGAATGCAAGAACTGTGTCTAAAGAATTGCGATCAAGATGTGGCTGGACAGAAACTGGAGAATCTATCCAAAGGGGGTATGGTTTGTGAGCAGACCGTGTACAGGAAAGGCTTCCGGCCATGTTGCATGCTAGCTGCTAGCGCGGTCAAGGCTCCCGGACTGGCTTTACCCCTCGCAAGCAGCAACGAACTCACCAGTGACCGCGGCTCTAGCCCCCTACTGTCCAGGCACGGCAGCCAGGGTAACTGTCATTCCTGTCACACAGGTTGGAGTTCAAGGCTCCCAGACTATACCCCTCGCAGGCAGCAACGAACTCACCAGTGACCGCGGCTCTAGCCCCCTACTGTCCCGGCACGGCAGCCAGGGTAACTGTCATTCCTGTCACACAGGTTGGAGTTCAAGGCTCCCAGACTATACCCCTCGCAAGCAGCAACGAACTCACCAGGATTAGTGTCCAAGTCGGTTCAAGCTGTGAGGACAACACTACATGGCACCTCCTGCCCAGTTGCATGCTAGTGCAGCTCTAGCGCCCTACTGTCTGAAAAATTGCGATGCAGACGCGGCTGGACAGAAACTGGAGAATCTATCCAAAAGGGGTATGGCTTGGGAAAGGGCCAGGTCGAGCAGGAGGGAAGGATGAGGTCCAGCAGGAGGGTGTGCAGGTCCAAAAGAAGGGTAGCCATCTCCAAAAGAATTGTACTAAGGTCCAGTAAAAGTGCCCAGGTCCAAAAGAAATGTAACGAGGTCCAAAAAAAGTGTTTTCCAATGATTTGCCATAGAATGAGGATGTTGAATGGATTGTTCCATGGGATATATCACCACCCTTTTTTGTGGGTTTGTAAACCGGGACATTTGCTGGCCATTTTAAGGAGGAAAAACTAACTGGATGGTCATTGGGCCAACCTGAAAGCACATTGGGTTACTTTGCAAATAGCTGGGTTGTTGTAAAACTCGAGAAAGCCGGGCAAACGAATGGGTAAAGAAATGGGAACACTTACCCAACAGAGAAATGAAGTCGTAAACCTGGATGCCACTGGAGAGCTCTGGATGAATCAAAACAATTCAAAACATGGTTTTACTGCCGGGGCTTGGTTGAGAAACTAGCTAGATGCTTACGCAAGAGCGGACCATTTTGCCAAGTACACACATATATATATATAAATACATATATATAAATATACATATATATATATACATATATATATATATTTAAATTTACATATATATATACATATACACACATAATTATATATATATATGCATATACATATATATATATATACATATTTATATATACACATACATATATATATATATACATATATATATATGGCTCCATGTGGGAATCGGGCGTTATAAAACACGTTTTTTTTTGAGAGAGATGTGTTTTTCAAGCGTCTGAGATGAGAAACTGCCAGGACAGAAGTAGCTACAGTAGCACAAGCACAAGGATATATATATATATATATATATGTATAAATATATATATATATATACAGATTTCACCACGATCTTGGAATATGCAAAATTTAAATTTCGCAGTTGAACTCGAACGAAAAAAGTATTTAGAATATGAGCATAGAATATGCCCCATTTCATGTGGAAAGTGGGCTGGCATCCTGAAAGGCTTTCTGCCTCTGGGAAGTGCAACACAAATAAACTCAGGTGCTATCCCCAACAGCTTGAAAGCTTCTGCGTTTTTGCCATAAAAAGTGCTTATGCCATAAAAATCAAGCGCTTATGCCATAACAAATTAAGTGCCTATGCCATAAAAAAAACATTGGAACCCTTTGGAATTTCACAAAGCATCTGCACCAGAACCCTCCGGAACCTCACAAGGTACCTGCACCGGAACCCTCCGGAACCTCACCAAGCACCTTCTCCGCCAAAACCCTCCGCAACCTCACAAGGTCTCTGCACCGGAACCTTCCGGAACCTCAAGGTATCTGCCCCGGAACCCTCCGGCACCTCACCACGCATCTTCACCTAGACCCTCCGGAACCTCATCAGGTACCTGCACCGGAAACTTCCGGAACCTCACCAGGCACCTGCGCCAAAACCCTCTAGAATCTAACCAGGTATCTGCACCTTAACCCTCCGGAACTTCACAAGGTATCTGCACCGGAACCCTCCGGTGGGAACGTCAAAAACAAAGCAATTCTGCGAGACTTCCTTCGAAAATGGAAAGTTGAGTGCAGAGCAAACGGCCTCGTGCCAATTTTCCGATCTACGTCTCTAAAGTATTGCGCCTGCCAGGAAAAAAATGATGCCAGGTCATGCGAAGTGCTGCACCTGCTGCGCAAAATCATCTTCCCAAAACTGAAGATCTGATCCTCCAAAATGCAGCGCCCTGACCTCCTAACATCTCTGATGAACATGTCTCTTGTACTGCGCCTGCCAGGCGAAATACATCTTGGCAGATCCTCTGCAAATGTCCCACGCCTGCCACCATTTTTGGAGGGCGTGATTGAATCAATTGCATTTTATATAGCAACGCTGTTGCCTACTGAGGTCTTATTGGGTTGCTGGACCGCCTTCGGGGCTGTATGTTGGCAACCTACAGGGCTTATTGGGGTTGCTGGACCGCCTTTGGGGCAATATGTTGGCGACCTACAGGTCTTATTGGGTTGTGTGTTGGCAACCGACAAGTCTTACTGGGGGTTGCTGGGCTGTATGTTGGCGACCTACAGGTCTCATGGGCGTTGCTGGACCGCCTTTGGGGCTGTATGTTGGCGACCTACAAGTCTTATCGTGAGTGTGATGCCCAGTTGCCAGTTGGCGAGGATAGGCTTGGGCCAGTGTAGGCTAGGGTCAAAGTAAGTCGCCTGAGCTACGTGTTTCTCAACCAGGCTTTTTACAAAAGGCCTGAGAAATCGCTTGCGGCAGCAAGGCTAGCTCCATACTCTTCGGCGCAATACGCTTGTACGCGCTGGGCAGCATTGTCCGCACTCCTTGCATGGTTTTCTCCATGAGCATGAACATGGCACAAAACTTGCCTCCGCCAGGCAGACTAAACAGGCCAAATAGGGCTGCTTCGCGCCACAACGGCGTGCAACTTTTCATCTCTCATCTGACCACATGGCTCCGCACCCGCCACTTTAGCGAGCCTACTTTTCGACCCCCCGGAGCCACGAATCATTGGAAAAACACTGTGTTTCGCGACCTTGCTACCTTTTCGCGCACCTGCATCTTCTGTCTTCTGACTCCCCTGATTTTCTTTCTTATTTTCTTCTCTTCTCTGACTCTTCCCACCTCTGCTTTTCATCTGTCCATATTGTCGGAAGTGTGACTTCTAAACTTCCTGCGATAAAACAAAACGATTATAACATAAAACTGCATGCACGGTATTCACACGCACACGCGCACGCACACATGTTTTCAGCGACACTTTGACTACCCCATCTCTTCCGTTGTATTCGTGGCACATGTTCTAGCCCGTCTTCCTCCGCTGTTTATTCTTCCCGATTGGGGGCACATGCAAGAAAACAACAATGAGACTGATTTGGAAGGTTATGGCCGCGACATCAAATGCACAGGGACAAAACAATTTTCTAGTGGGCAAATCATTTCCCAAAAGCGTGTTGAGGATGGCAGCCGCTATGGCAGTTTACTGCTCCGCGCAGACCGCGCATTATTGCCCAGGTGCGCAGAGCCACTGTTTGGCGACGTCAACGACTTGGAGGCCTGGGGCTGATTTGGATACGGGCGGGACAGTTGATCCTGCCTAGCACACTGCCTGCTATGAGCATGCCATGGCCATTGGGGCGCAGTTCATGCTGTGATCCCTAGATTAGTTCCTTTATCCTGTCCTCATCAACAGTTGGTTTCTGCCGGCGCAGGATATTAACTTCAACGTCCGAGATCGTTTCAATTTCGAGGCCTGCCAATTGCGCACGGCAAAAGCTCTGGGCATGAGTGTGTGGTGCCCAGCAACTGGAGTAGTTTCATTTACCTGGCGCCTTGCGTCGAACATTGTTTTTTTTGCCAGCCTTGGTTTCTTCAGTCCCCGATTGTCGTAGGGGTTTTGGATAGAAAAAAATTGGTCGCCAATGAACATTAAATATACCAATTCAGCTACGGGCGATGCTTACGCATGGAAGTAAGAGGGCGCAGCACATGTCTAGACCGTCGGTTGTGGACATGCATTGGTTTTGCACAGATTGGTCTCACCCAGGGGTCATAGACGCACACCGTTGCTACGGACAGATTGTTGTCACCACCATCAGAACCACGATCAGAACCACCATGGGAACCACCAGCCAAACTACCATCACAGCCACCATCAAAACCACCATCATACAAATATCATCATGACCATCGCGTCCATCCTGTGACCCACCACCACTAGCATCACTATTAGCATCACTATTAGCATCACTATTAGCATCATCATCATCATCATCATCATCATCATCATCATCAATATTTTCATCATCATCGTCGGTGAGTCCAATGAAATCCTCATTTTTGGGCATATCAACCGCAGTAGACAGCAGCAGGAGGTAAAAATTGCAATGCCGCCAGGATTACAATGCATACTTGGGCGAGAGCGCGGCAACTCAGACAGGTTGTGGTGATGCGACGGTTTTTTGCCATACAGGCGTTTGCCAAAATGGGGGAACCCTATGTCACCATGGTTGTTTCAATACTAAGATGATCTGATTTTGGACGATTTGGGAATACCACCATTTTAGGAACTTCCATCTACATTTATAATTAGTTTTTTTCTTAAAATGTATATGTTATGTATAATATATATAGATACATATACATGTATTAAATTAAACAGCATGTGCTGGAAAATTTGGTCGTGTTTGGTGATTTATACATGATCTTCCAATTGAAAGTGGAACACCATATGTCGCGTTTACGGCTTTATTGAAAGGTTCCCTCACCTCCCAGCGGGGAAAAGGGATCCAACTTCAGAATATCATATGGTTGTCTGATTTCCTTTCGATTGTAGAATGTGTGAGGTAGCAACGGATATGGTCGGTGCCGGAATGTTCTCCCGAATTGGCACTCGTGGACCCGATACATCTACAACTACATTGTTTTATTTGGAAACGCACAGATTTCTAGGGTCTTGAGCTTGACAGGCACGCATACATGCGCATGATGAAAACAAAACTGTGCTTTGGATTTTTTGGACCCACGTCCATGTATAGAACCTTGGTGTTTTCTGGTTCTATAATTTGCAAGTCCAAAACTATATTGAGATGATCCTCGGAATTGGCTGTCTCCAATAATGGAGGAGGACCTAGGGACCCATCATGTTGAGATGGTCAAATTGGCCATGAAAAATGCCCTTGCTAGACTTGCTACGTTGCCAAGCCAATTGGCGATCAAATGTTGGGTTGATAGGATTGCGAAGCAGAGTAATCCATTAACCATCATTAACCATCATTAACCATCATTAACCATCATTAACCATCATTAACCATCATTAACCATCAAAAAAGCATCATTAACCAGAATGTTTGTTTCATAACCACAGTATTTCATGGGATGGGTTTCTGAATGAGGGCAAGGTGGGGGTCCCCCAGTGATGTTGGTTGGTTTATGCACCCCATTAACTATCATTACATGAGTAACCGACAAAATAGTGATTTAGTAATGGTTAATAGTGGTTAATGATGGTTAATGATGGTTAATCATCCCATTTCTATCCCATTAACTAGTTTAGTCTTTGCTTCGCCTTGGCCTTTCCGAGGTTGCACAAAACATCACAAAACCTTCATGACCGATAGGGCACGAACCTAATTTGTGCAGGGCATTCAATTTAACACATAATTTTGTTCGCTACTCATACGGGGGTTTCCATAGTCATGGGGGTACCCTAAAATGGATGGTTTATAATGGAAAACCATCTATAAATGGATGATTTTGGGGTACCCCCATTTTAGGAAACCTCAATATACTTATATTATCTTACATTCCCCATAAACCATGGTTAAGCAAACAATGAGTCAAGTTACCTATGTAGGGGGCCGCGCAAGATGACTTTCCAATTGGACATAGTAGTTCTTTTTTCGCTCCATGTTGCAACCAGGGGCAAGTTCGAAGTGATATTTGCTCGCATTTTCGGATGTGAAATTGCCACTTCTTGTTGCTTACTAATTGAGGTTTCATGCCATCAATCCTGATCCTCCCCATTTTTCCGCTGCTCAAACCCTGGATGTTTGTTGGCCGCCATTTCTAGTGGCTCCACCCACATGGTTTTTTCCGCGAATCCACTTCCTGATGGAAAATCCAACCTTTCTTTGAATCATAGAACTGGATGATGGGAAAATTTACAGGAAAACCCTTTATTTGATGGTAAAAACCACGGTTTCCTGTGGATTTTTTCCTTGATTGAATGATTCGGCAGATCATTTGTCATCCCCTGTTTTTGATGGCTTTTTTGTTTCCGCAAAAAACACATGTGCTCAGTGCACAAGTGTCGCTACAAGCCCCATTTTTCAGTGGATCAACCCTCTTCATTGCAGCCAGGCGACTCCCACACTATGCTGCCCTACCGCTCGGTTGAGGTGTGCATTCGCAGCGGAGCAAGGGATTTAAGCTGCTGAATTTTGGTTTTCACCCAAAAGAAGCCAGGGATTTACACAAGACGAGTTGAGAGCAAACCGCAGCAATCATTCGGATATCATTGATAGATGATGGTTGGATTTAGCCCACGGGATATTCGATTTTTTATACAAAAAATCATCATTTTACGAGACCCAGGGAGCCTTGGTTCTCGCCAGGTGGTCTTCAACAATGCGAACATTTGGATGAACAAACAGGATCCAGATCCTCGTGTGGAGCCCAGTCAGACTGGGCCTTCGACGAATGAATCATCAACACATGGGAGAACACTTGAGAACTTGGGGTTTTAGTACCCTCTGGTTATGTCAAAATAGCTATTGAAAATGGCTATTTATAGTGGATTTTCCCATTAAAAATGGTGATTTTCCATAGTTATGTTAGTTTACCAGAGGGTAATCAGAAATGTGCATTCAATGACACCAGCAGGATTTGTCCAACATTTTCATGATTTCATGTGATTTCCCAGGAATTTATGGTAACTATATGTGACTATGAAACACTGTTTTTTTTGTTGGATTACAAAAAAGGATTTTGCCATGCAGGATGCTACAGGATGGTGCCCCCCAGTTATAAGTTGGTTTATAAATCCCATTGACTATAGTTATATCTGCCATAAACCATAGTGAAATGGGAGTTATGTTCACCAACTTAGCTAACGAACTGGGGCACCACCTTGTATCTTCCAACTTCTCAGCTCGTTTTTTTTCGATGCTCAGGTTACATCTTCTGGGATTTGCAGAACTCGGATTACTGGCATCCCTTCTCCAACAAGGTGCCGGCTTGGAAGAAAGGAAAGGACGGTGAGTGATGAGGCTTGATGATGAACAGAAGATGTCAAATGGCGGCCTTAAAGGCCGAATAGGCCGAATGATAGTGGATTATAAAATTTTATAAATTGTAGCACCTGAGCTTCAATGGTCCGCAACTGGGTCAGAACTCACGCAAATAAGGTCTCTTACTCGAAGTACTATAAGAGCTTGCCTCCCAGCCTCCCAGCTCCCAGCCATTTGGCATCAGGGAACATCCATCTATATACCCTCTGGTAAACTAACATAGCTATTGAAAATGGCCATTTATAGTGAGTTTCCCCATTAAAAATGGTGATTTCCCATAGTTATGTTAGTTTACCAAAGGGTAAGGCTCTTCAGGGTTTTTCAAATTGGAAGTATCCGCATACTGAACACTATTCGGACACATATCAGGTCCTTGAAAACACAACCATAATGTTTAACCGCCTTTGTTTCGCTTCACATCCACAGGGCTGATATTGGGTTTGTCATGGTTTGTCAAAACAAAGCGGACCCTAAATCTAGTGGTTTACCGTCATCATCAGCATCATTATCATCATCATCATCACCATCATCATCATCATCATCAGCATCATCTCAGTAGAATTGCCATTTAGGCGTATATACCCGATTTTCAGATACACCCATATCATATTGGTTACAGTATATATTTCATTCTATCCCATTAAACTATATCCTATCATATCCTTTCATTCACATCACATCTGTCATTCTATCCCCTATCCGATCCCAGGGATACTCTCATCCATGAGAGGCTACCCCATTCCATCAAATCGTTGAGAAAATCATTTTTTGTTTTGCTACACTTCAATAAAAAGGGCTCGGGATAGAGCATGGCGGCATGCCTCATTTCAGACACATCCAGTTGCCATACTCTAGTGACTTGACCGAACATTCTTTTGTATCCCAGGAATATCCCCGGTATATCACGATTTTTGTTGGTTTGTCCCCCATTGCTGCGTGTTATAATATGTTATAATTATACATATATATATATATATATAAATTGGTTAAACCATATTCAATCACCATTCATATTCCATTCATATCTCATATCTATTGGTATGACCCGATGACATCCCAGTACTGGGAGGATCATTTTTACGAATCGTAGGTGGTTACATAACAACTCTGATGATCGTAAGTGATTCGTTTGTTCACCCATTTATAAGTGCTAGTTCACGAACTATATGGTTATAACTTTATCCCGATTCTATCCATATTATAGATTCTATCATATTATATCCCATTTGTTTATCTTACTGGTGCTAAACGCAGGGAATGAGGGAATGATCCATAATCACTAGTAATAATCATCCCAGCAACCCCCAGCAACCCATCCATTCCCTACGTTTAGCACCAGTAAGAACCATATGATAAGATATGGAATAACTATAGTTGGATATATCTAACATCAAAACCATAGTTGGATATAATTATATGCATACTAGATATGGATATCCATTATAATACACTAATGACCCCAGAAACTCAGCTACAATTTCTCCTGGGCTCCACCCAGGGCTCCGGCCAGGTGAGCGGCTTGCGACCGTGCTTCACGACCTGCCGATTTCCCATGGCAGGCGGATGGCGTCTTCTCAAATCATCCGAGGGGTGGTTACGGAAGTCAAGTGACGCTGGGGCCATGAGAAAATTCACTCATGGATGATATCTATAGATGGAGATTTAATGGGATTTTTCATGGAATTTAATGGGATTTAGTTATGTTAGTTGATTTATAAAGCCCAATCTCACTATAGTTATAAGTAGAATAAACCATAGTTATTGGAGTTATTTGCACCAACTTAGCTATCTAGGGGCCCCACATTGTATGGATGATATACCCTCTGGTAAATTAACATAGCGAACTGGAAAATCACCATGCTATTAATGGGTAAATCAACGAACTAAATGGCCATTTCCAATAGCTACGTTAAATTACCAGAGGGTAAATTGATCTAATCTATAGATGAGGAAAGTGATACATGTGATATAACTTATAGATGGGTATCATCTGGAGAAAGTTATAAAGATCATAAAACAGTTAGAATATGTTATAACCCATCTATAATTGGGATAAACCACGAATGGGGGACTTACTCACCAGGGTTATTACCCACAACCACGATTCGTGGGATGATCCTGCAAGTATTGTGATAAATGAAGATTTAAAATTTAAGATAAACGGAAAAAGGATGAATTGTGGATGAAGGTTTGAAATATTATATATACTTGTAGCGATTTCTGTTGAAATACAGAAAATAGCACTTTGGTGAAATTTGGTATGGGATATTATGGGATTTAAATGGGACTTACATGGGATATACAACCAACCATAATGGGATATAGTGGACAAAACGCCCCCTAGTAATTTCAGAACCACAATTTTATAGCAAGGAATGTCATTGAACCCACTAGACTCCGTTGGCTTGTCCCGCAGTATGGCTTTGTCTAGAAACAGATGGCCCTAAATTGGTTACCCTGAAGTATGGCCATGCAAAGAGATGTGGAAAACCCCATGGTTTTCGTTCGGAAAATGATCAACGGTGGGTTTAGCGTTTACCTTGGTTGGATCTTGTCCTATCAATGGTGGAATACCCTCTGGTAATTTAACATAGCTATTGAAAATGGCCATTTATAGTGGATTTACCCATGAAAAATGGTGGTTTTCCATAGTTATGTTAGTTTACCAGAGGGTATCACATCCAGGTAATTTTGCATGTGGAGGGTAGCCCATATCCCAGATTGTATCCTGTATTCATGTACCATATGAGCCATTGAACATATCCGACTGTTGCTTGCTCTATTGCGTCAAAAGTCACGTGGGGTTTCAGATGGAGCGTGGCCCTACAATAAGATGACTTGGGGCTTGAGGTTATTGATGGGTCTGTCAGTAATAACCCCCATAAGTTGGTATATATATATATGTATACCTGTATATGGCGAAATATGCCCATTTATAACCTCAACTGCAGGTTCCCAGTAGCTATTCACCAAGCAGTTTGCTCGGTGATCCCTCAGCGCTAGGTCGAGATGAAGGATGGTGTGTTCGTCAACGTCGAGAGCTGTTGCAGGAGTTGCGCAAGGTACGAATTTCGGCTTTGGGGAGACAGCGGAAATTAAGGTGGGGGGAAACTAAAGTTTAATCAACATAAAAGTCAAGACAATTAATATGTCTGTGTATATGATATAGTTAGAATGGCCCTTGCCCATCGTCCCATCCTCCACAACCGCAAACATACAGACAACATTTCAAAGCAACCAACCCCCATAACATCACACAAACAAATCATAACAACCAAAGCATACCCATAAACCAATAAGAAATCAATCAACCAAACAACACACATAAATCAGAACAACCAAGACATAACCAAAATCCAATGAATAGTCAATCAACCAAGACAATAACAAAACCATAGCAACAAGCAATCATCAAAAACCATAGCAACATCCCATCACCAAGAATTATTCAACAAACCACCTAACAAGATTGTTGAATAAACTATACCATAAGAAACTCAACCAGTCAATCAACCAAACAAAAACTCAACCAACCAACCATCATAACAAACCTGACCAAAAACCATTATAAGGAAAAAGGGGCAAGGTTAGGTTCATAGAACATGAACCCAATGCTCTGTGAGCGTGCCCCTCAAAGAATTCAACATTCAACCATAAGAATAATCCATACTAAAACTGGGGCAAGGTCTCCCTCATAGAAAAATTATTTCCACAAAAGATTATCCGTAAAATAGTGGGGCAAGGTTGCCCTTACAGAAAAACCAGATTAACATATAATTGAAACAATCCAACCAATGCTAAACCTCATTCATAAGTCCATTGTTATGCCAGCACCTCAACAAAAAAGCATTGGTATTGCTACAACATAGGACTATTGATTGTATAGTATATTAGTTATATCTAATCAACCACTATTTACAACTACAATTACACCTTTTACAATAAGCAACTATATTATCCAATGTATGGGTATATTCATTATTCACCCTTTGTGCGGTTAGATTTGTTGTTATATTTCCATTATTCATAGTAGTATAAAACCCACATCCGCAGTAATTACATTGTTTTTTTTTTTTATATTCTCTAAAAACCATTCAACATTCACATATCATTCTTTTGGTATTTTTCTTTTTGCCTTTCTATCTTGCTCTTTGTAATTCAGTATCTTTCTTTCATAATAACTCACCATACATTTATAATTAAATTCATCATATACATCATTGCTATATTTGAAAAACTTGACTTTGTTTAAGTCTCTTGCTCTTGTAATTGCCGTCCATATCCATTCTTTGTATTCTCTCATGTCCCAATGGTTGTAATCAAATATTGTAATATCACCATCTATGCTACTGCCTTGGGCGGAATGACAAGTGGCACAGTGAGCAAATATAAAATTCTTCCTGACCTTTTCAATATCCAAAGGTTGAACTTCACCACTTTTTACATTTTTGAGTTTTAGAAATTTACTATTTGCCAATACTATTTCATATCTAAAATTCACATTGAAGACGCAGTGTTTAGACTTAGTATATTCTCTACATATTAAAACTCTCCTGTTTCATATTCATATTTTCTATTTTCCAATTTGCGGATGGCACTTGAAACATTTTTACAAGTGTCATTTAGATATGTTATGTTATTTTTTGAACCGCTTATATCACTGGTATATTGAAAATATTTACTGATGAACTTTTTATAAGTAATGTTATTTATGAAAATATCGTCCTTTATATTACTTAGTTTGTCCTTATCCTCCTGTGTTTCAAGTCTCTTACATATTTTCAGCAATATATTATTTTCAAATATATTATCTATGATTTGGTCGGCATAGGTTTCATAGTCCTGTATATTGGTTAGTGGTTGGATGGGTTTTAGTTGTTTTGTGTCTCCTGTCGCAATAATAATTTTGTCATGCTTGTTCTGTTCTACAAATGGTTTTATCCTCCAATAGGTGCTTAAACTACTAAAATATATCTCATCAAATACTATTACATCATATCCTGAATAATCAAAGGGTTCTAACCGAGTTCCGATCCGGAGAGCCACCCAAAAGTCGGATTCGAGTCGGTTTCGGGTTTCGGGTTTCGGGTTTCGGGTTTCGTTGATTGAAACCCACTTTCGCTGTCGGTTTCGGGTTTCGGGTTTCGTCGATTGAAACCCACTTTCGCTGTCGGTTTCGGGTTTCGGGTTTCGGGTTTCGTCGCTTGAAACCAACTTTCGCTGTCGGTTTCGGGTTTCGTTTTGGTTTCGGGTTTCGTCGATTGAAACCCACTTTTGCTGTCGGTTTCGGGTTTCGGGTTTCGGGTTTCGTCGATTGAAACCCACTTTCGCTGTCGGTTTTGGGTTTCGGGTTTCGGGTTTCGTCATTGAAACCAACTTTCGCTGTCGGTTTCGGGTTTCGGGTTTCGGGTTTCGTCGATTGAAACCCACTTTCGCTGTCGGTTTCGGGTTTCGGGTTTCGGGTTTCGTCGCTTGAAACCAACTTTCGCTGTCGGTTTCGGGTTTCGGGTTTCGGGTTTCGTCGATTGAAACCCACTTTTGCTGTCGGTTTCGGGTTTCGGGTTTCGGGTTTCGTCGCTTGAAACCAACTTTCGCTGTCGGTTTCGGGTTTCGGGTTTCGGGTTTCGCCGGAAACCAACTTTCGCTGTCGGTTTCGGGATTCGGGTTTCGGGTTTCGGGTTTCGTCGATTGAAGCTAACTTTAGCTGTCCGTTTCGGGTTTCGGGTTTCGTAGGTCGAAACCACCTTTAGATTCACCAGTACGATGCCGATCTCACATCACCCAAGTGTCGTTCTCCATGCAGTCGTCAAAAACAAGAGCGGTGAGTGACAAGCGCCTGAAAAGGTCAGAGAGGAAAAACGGCAACGGTTTGGGGGAAACTAGCTGTCACTGAGTGGATTAGATTAGATTAGATTAGATTTGGTAGAGTAGATCAGATTAGATTAGGTAGATTAGATTAGATTAGAATTGGATTAGATTAGGTAGATTAGATTAGATTAGATTAGATTAGATTAGAGTAGATCAGATTAGATTAGGTAGATTAGATTAGATTAGATTAGATTAGGTAGATTAGATTAGATTAGATAGATTTAACTAGATTAGAATTAGAGTAGGTTAGGTAGATTAGATTAGGTTAGACTATATAGATGAGATGAGATTAGAATTATATTTGATTAGATTAGATTAGTTTAGGTAGATTAAATTAGATTAGATTAGGTTAGATTAGATTAGATTAGGTTGGATTAGATTAGTTGGATAGATATGATATGATATGATATGATATCATTAGATTAGATTAGATTAGAAATATAAGATTAGAAGGATTAGATTAGGTTAGATTAGATTAGATTAGGTAGATTAGATTAGATTAGATTGGAATAAGAATTGCTATAGAATAGGTAGGTTAGATTAGATTAGATTAGATAGATTAGATTAGATTGATTAGATTAGATTAGTTTTGGTTAGATTAGAATCTGATTTGATTAGGTAGATAAGATAAGATTAGAATTAGATTACTTAGATAGATAGATTAGGTTAGATTCGGTAGATTAGATTAGGTTAGGTAGATTAGGGTAGATTGGATTAGAATTAGATTCGATTAGGTAGAGTAGATAAGATTAGATAGGTTAAACTAGATTAGAATTAGATTAGATTAGGTAGATTAAAGTAGATTAGATTAGATTAGATAGATAAGATTAGAAATAGATTAGATTAGGTAGATTAGATTAGATTAGATTAGAATTGGGTTAGATTAGGTAGATTAGATTAGATTGGGTTAGATTAGATTAGATTAGGATAGGTTAGGTAGATTAGATTAAATTAGATAGATTAGATAGATTAGATTAGGTAGATTAGATTAGGTTAGATTAGAATTGGATTAGATTAGGTAGATTAGATTTGAATAGATGGGATTAGATTAGATTGGAATAGGTAGATTAGATCAGATTAGATTAGATTAGATTGGGTAGATTAGATTAGATTAGATAGATTAAACTAGATTAGAATTAGAGCAGGTTAGGTAGATGAGATTAGGTTAGACTATATAGATGAGATTAGATTTGAATTAGATTGATTAGATTAGATTAGATTAGAATTAGATTTGAATTAGATTAGAATCAGATTAGTCAGACAGATAGATTAGATTAGATTAGGTAGATTAGATTAGATTAGATTAGATTAGGTAGATTGGATTAGATTAGATAGACTAGACTAGATTAGATAGAATAGATTAGGTTAGATTAGATAGATTAGATATGATTAGATTAGATAGATTAGATCAGATTAGATTAGATTAGATAGATTAGATAGACAGATTAGATTAGATTAGATTAGATTAGGTTAGCTCTAGATTAGATAAAATCGGTCCTGGGGAAGTTAAGTCTTCAGAGTCGGTTTCGGGTTTCGGGTTTCGATCGGTCCTGGGGAAGGTATATAAGTCTTCAGAGTCGGTTTCGGGTTTCGGGTTTCGGGTTTCGGGTTTCGGGTTTCGGTCGGTCCTGGGGAAGTTAAGTCTTCAGAGTCGGTTTCGGGTTTCGGGTTTCGCAGTTCGAAACCAACTTTAACAGTCGGTTTCGGGTTTCGGGTTTCGGGTTTCGGGTTTCGCTGGTCGAAACCAACTCTGCAGACCTCTCTCCGGATCACATCTCTTCTAACCTGACATCACCAAAAGATATTCCAAAAAACTTATTTAGGGTCAGTGCCTCTCCTTCAAATGCTTGTAGTAATTTATTAGTAGGACATACAAACATCACTTTATATTCTTTATCTACCATTCTTTGGCATATATAACTTTTACCAGTTCCCGGCAGTTCCCCTCTTATCATCATAGGATTATTACACTTAATATATTCAATAATATTATCAGTGTCATATTCATCTTCTACATCAATTGTTTTATTTTCATATATTGGGATTTCAATTAATTCATTTTCTACTACATCATATTTGACAGTTGGAAATTTGATGTCATCATTATACTTGCTTACTCTCCACCCTCCTATTTCATTATTGAAATTCAATAACTCACCTGCCTTTTCTACATCAGTTGCTCTTATTACAAAGGCATCTGTTTTTACACTAAACATCTTGATATTATTTTGTTTCATCTTGCTATAAGACTTATAAATTTCCAAATTATGAAGTTGTAAAAGCAACTCCTTGACATATCTAAAACCATTTTTCAGTTGTGCTTGGTCTTTTATATTTAGGATGTAGTAATTATCAGTATTAATTTGGTTGGATGAGTGCTGTAATTCATCTTCATTCTCAATTATCTCATCCTCTATCTCTACATCACTTACTTTATGAAGTTTTCCACCATAATTTACTTGATAATCAATTGCTTCACTTAAACTCTTAAACAATAAACTTTTTTGGTCCGTAGCACCTCCTTTTTCCAATAAACCAAAATTGACATTAGCAATTAGTTTCTTTATATACTTGTCTTCTTCAATATCATCACTGATTGACATGTTCCAAAGTTCATCAATAATTTCTTTATGATTACATTTATGAATTTGCGACGGGGTCTTAAAACACAGTATATCAATATCAACATCATCAATAACTTCTTTTAAGATACATCCGTATTTAGTTTCATACTTTTTATTCATAAAAATCTTATTTTTTTCAAAGTCATTATTCTTAACATAGTATAAAGTTAAATCATGATATTCATTTAATTTTCCATCATAAGGTTTCCAAATGTCAAACTGATTGAAAACGGGTTTCTCATCCATTTTTGAAAACATACTTGTGAATGGTTTTGATA